GTCTCTACAGAAGGAGGGGACCTCAGCATCTGTTCAGAGTTGTTAGTGATAACACGGTGCTTGGCACAGGGAGGCACAGTGGATTCAGGTAGCATTTGTTAAAGGGACAAAGTCTAGATAATCAGTTCTTCTCTCACTTAAAAACTCCTCTGGAGCCGGGCGCTGGTGGCTCACGCCTGTAATCCTAGCTACTCAGGAGGCTGAGATCTGAGGATCGCGGTTCAAAGCCAGCCCGGGCAGGAGAGACCGTGAGACTCCTATCTCCAATAAACCACCAGAAAACCGGAAATGGCACTGTAGCTCAAGTGGTAGAGCGCTCGCCTTGAGCTGAAGAGCTGAGGGACAGCGCCCAGGCCCAGAGTTCAAGCCCCACAACCGACAAAAAAAAAAAAAAAAAAAACTCCTCTGGTTGGGGCTGGGAAGGTGGCTCAGTAGTAGAGCGTTTGCCTTGCATGCATGAGGCCCTGGGTTCAATTCCCCAGCACCACATAAGGAAAAAAAAGCCGGAAGTGGCCCTGTGGCTCAAGTGGTAGAGCGCTAGCCTTGAGCTGAAGAGCTGAGGGACAGTGCCCAGGCCCAGAGTTCAGGCCCCACGACCGGACCCCCCCCCCCAAAAAAAAAAAAAAAAGCAAAAAACTCCTCTGGTAGCTAGGCCCTGGTGGTTGACACCTGTAATCCCAGCTACTAAGGAGGTTGAATCTGAGGATTGTAGTTTAAAGCCAGCCTGGGCAGGAAAGTCCGTGAAACTATCGCCAATTAACCACCAGAAATAGAGCTGTGGCTTAAAATGGTAGAGCACTAGCCTTGAACAAAAAGCTCAGGGACAGTGCCAGACCCTGAGGTTCAAGCTCCATGATGGCTGAAAAAAAAAATTTTCCTGGTGGTGGTTACTGTAAAAGAACCCTGGGTGCCTCCCTCAGTGTACTCTTGTGAAAATGGTCACAGGGTCTGAGGTCCCAGCATCATTGGCTGGGTATGACTTGGTAGCAATGGTCCTTTCAGCTTTATAATGGAGGTCTTGTGCTTGGGGCTGGGCAGTGAGCTGGACAGGCTCCTATTGTGATTGTTTGCTGTGTGCTACAACACAAAATTGCCTTTGCTGGCAAACCTCATTGTAGTTTGATACATCTTCTAGGCCATGCTGCTGTTGACATTCTTAACCTTAGTGACTTCAAAATGGAATAAATGACTTTATGCTTAAAAATGTGTTGGCAATTAGTAAATAAAAGGCTTCTCGGGATTGGCAGATGAGTGTGTTATAAGGGTACATAGGTCAGCACTGTACTTTTTGAGGTTGAATCACAGTTCGGCTGCAGTTACCAGGAACAGCATGGTTGTTTGTCAGTGGGTCACTAGGTTCCAGCAAAGCCTTTATGAGGATATTTGTCTTAGCACTGACACCCACTGTGCCCCCTACTCTAACAAGGCCCCTAGAGTTCAGGCATCTTGAGTTGGGGCATTATTTGGGAGCAGAATACAATGTGAACACACATGAAGCCTACCTTCAAGCAACACCACTCATCTAAACACAGCCCTCTGTCATGGGATCTGATGAGTCAGACTCAAAAGGACACCTAAGTGATAGAACATTTGAAAGTTTTCTTTTCCAAATTAATTTTTATTTAATATACCTAAATTGCTGAAATTAGTATGAATTTCTGAAGCCCCAAAGGGAACTGTTGTATTAATAGTAAAAACAATTTTGAATGTATGTGAGCTCTGTCACAAAGTCACTCATCCTTTGTGTGTCGATCTGGAGTCCTCTGTTGGGGTTGGTTACTAAGCTGGTATGGTAAGTGGTAGTGATCAGGTCTGTTTCCAGAGTTGTGGCAGGTGAGAGACTGTGATGACTTGGAGATCAGCTTCCCTGTGAGGGATGACTCCTTGAAAACTAAATGTGAATGTTTTGATTTACTTGTGTCTTTGACATATAATTACTATGCTGCTTTCCTTTTATAGTACCTTGGTTGTGAAGCAGAAATTACCAGGAGTCTATGTGCAGCCATCTTACCGCTCCGCATTAAGTAAGATAAGGATTTGATTTGCTCTGAATTTTTAGCACAGTTGGTCTAACATGTATTTAGGCCTTTCCCATGTTGATTTTTTTTCCTGCAGTGTGGTTTGGAGTGATATTCATACGGCATGGGCTTTATCAAGATGGTGTGTTCAAGTTCACAGTTTATATCCCTGATAACTATCCAGATGGTGACTGTCCAGTAAGTAGGAGATACAGTCTGACCTAATTTGTGGTGCTCCATTCTCATTAAAGGGCCGATTTCTTGGTTCTTTTCCTCACCTAATATGTTTAATGGCCAGTTCGCCAAGAAGTCCATTTTCCCTATAGTTGGAGGATTTGATGCTTTGTTGCATTTTCTGTGACACTGTAATCTGCCTGAAGCTTCATCCTTTTCTGCATGGGGTGAGCCTGGGGCATGTGTGGCAGTTCTCACTGTGACTGAGGACATGGTCACTTTAGTTTTACGGAATAATGGCTACTTCACCTGTCTTGGGACAACTTGTCTTGAGGCTTCTTTGGTAACTACCATCTCTAGGGAATTAATGAGCACTACCACCTCCGTTAAAAGGACTTGTCTCTTTAAATACAGCGCTTGGTGTTTGATATTCCTGTCTTCCACCCGCTAGTTGATCCCACCTCAGGTGAACTGGATGTGAAGAGAGCATTTGCAAAATGGAGGTTAGTACATCCGTGTTCCTTTCATGACATTTGATGGCAGGAGTGAGCATCAGTAATCACACCCTGTTTCTCTTCAGGCGGAACCATAATCATATTTGGCAAGTTTTAATGTATGCCAGGAGAGTTTTCTACAAGATTGATACAACAAGCCCCCTAAACCCAGAGGCTGCAGTACTGTATGTAACTTTTGTTATTTAAGTTAAATGTTAAAATGCAGCTAAGTTTACTAAGTTGCTAACTTTATCTAAATGTTTAACACAGATATGAAAAGGATGTTCACCTTTTTAAAAATAAAGTGGTTGACAGTGTTAAGGTGTGTACTGCTCGCTTGTTTGACCAACCTAAAATCGAAGACCCCTATGCAATTAGGTAAGTGGCACATCATCTAGATAAACTATGCTTTGCACTTCATTTTCCGGTGACCTTAGAATGAGGACTTAAAAGAATGTACAATCTATTAGCCTATAGCCTATCTAACTCAATTTCTCTTGGGCTCTTTCCTTAAAAAAAGCCTTGCATTATTTGCACATTGTGCCAACAGCACAATATCTGAGTGACTTTGGCTTCCTGAGGACCTTGTAATGTGCTCATTTATCTGTGAGGACTTTCTAGGAGATGGTTGTAGCTGCAGCTCTCCAACCACTCCAACCCTGCAGACATTCAGACCTGGGGAAGGGAGGGAAGCTGAATGGTGTAAGTGTGGCAGGTGCCTGTAGCACTGCTGTTTGATCTTGGGGAAGAGCAGCAAGAAGGGCTGGTGATTTCACTCTCTGGTGGTCTTTGCACTACTGGGAAGGGAGCATAGTCTAAGCACTAAAACTTGGGTTTAGTAAGTGAACTACTTAGCTTCAGGAGATCAATTACTGTCTTAACTGTGCCTTGCTTTTTTCATCATTAAATAAGAATATTTCAGGGGCTGATGTGTTGAAGATGTAAATCAGTCTAGGGGAAAGTTATATGGAAAAAAATCAATTAGATACTATCTAAAAACACACATGTTGGCTCAAGTAATAGGGTGCTGGATGTTAGCTAGAAAGCCAAGAGAGATCTGAGGCCCTGAGTTCAAGCTCCAGTAATGGGCACACACAGAAAAAAACAAAAATAAAAACATATGTGTTGATAACTTACTAAAGATTACTCTTTCAAAGTATTCTTCCTCATTAAATATTAGAATTGTCTTTTTTTTTTTAAGTAGATGTTATATAGATTTAGAAAGCCACCAACTGTTTTTAATACTTTCTGTCCTAAAGCTTTTCTCCCTGGAATCCTTCTGTACATGATGAAGCCAGAGAGAAGATGCTAACTCAGAAAGTAAGTCAATAACCAACTCTGAAATGGTTCGCTTCCTGTTTCTTCTCTAAAATGTCTTCATTGGAGACCAAATAACACACAAATAATGTTTGGGAAACCAGTCTTTTCAATCCTGAACTCTCCTCACCAATCCTTTTTATGTCTGTTTTTTTTTTATTGTGCCTAGAAGCCTGAAGAGCAACACAATAAAAGTGTTCATGTTGCTGGCCTGTCATGGGTAAAGCCTGGTTCAGTACAGCCTTTCAGTAAAGAAGAGAAAACAGTAGCAACTTAAGAGATGGTGAATCTGGTGCACCATGCACTTTCCTGTTGGACTCTGGCCTACTTAAAGCTGACTAATGGCAAGGATGGCCTGAAGAGTAAACCGTGTGAACTGTGACTGGGTATCAGTGTTTTCCATGTACGCATTGGTTCCATCAGCAGGTTGTGGAAACCTCTCATTAAGTAATGCGTTACTTCTGTCAGAAGTGTCTTAGGGTGGTTATTTAGTACAGTACTCCAAATTATTGGGGACCTTGAGACTTAAGTATTTTTCTGAACATAATGCTAAAGGTAAGTTGCATTCATTTAAATTAACTGAGAGATGGGAAATTGGCACTACTTGTTTTTAAATCACTTGTGTTGGTTGTACAGCTTAGGATGTAGAAAGGATGGATATAGAGACAGATTCCAGAGCTTGGCACTTTCGAGTGGAAAATAGTTTGAATTTCAGTCTTGAGCCTACTGTATTACTGACTTATACTGAGATATAAACTGAGGTCTCTGAGAAACATTAGTGAGTGGAAATCAGAATGCTTGTTAATAGTTTTTTTTTTTTAAGGCAAATTACTGTATTTTTATGGTAGAAGGAAGAAAAAGTGTTAAAACGGTTTCTAATGAAGTCAGATATTTAAATGATGAATGACTAATGTGTTCGGTAGACAAAATAAACCAATAAATGATTGTTCTTTGTCATTTATGCAAGAACTAAATGCCTTTTCTTAATATAAACAGGTTAATTTATAAATGCTTTATTGAAAAATACTTATTTTCATATAAAATTACAGTAGCAGTTAACTTCTTCAGAGGCTTTATAAATAGTTTTGCTGAACACTATTCTACTTGAATAGTGTAAGTTTCATATTTCCTTTAAAACAATATGAAGTTACCTAGTAACTTTGTTTATACTGATTCAATTTACAATTGAATTTTCTCCCTAATAAGATTACTGCTGGATCAATAGTGATTAACAAAGGTATGTATAGATAATTCAGTAGCTGTTAAATACTTTTCTAACTGAATATAAATGGCACTATGAACTAATAAAAATCTAAATTCTCCAACCTATCAGGAACAGACTGGAAGATATTATACATGCTAAAGTAGTCCCCTAGCTCAATTTAAAAATCTTTTCTTAGTCAGCTGATAACCCCTATAACAATAACAAACAAAAAAACAAACACTGGAGAATTTAAAGCAATGCCCAAAAGGTGGCTCTGGGGCATTAACAATTTATGAAAGTACAAAAGAAAATGTTGGCTGTTTTGCCTCTTAAGTTTTGTACTTAATAGTTCACATTGTAGAAAGTGCCATCACAAATATGTAGCAAAATCTGGGTTACAAAATCACACATTTTACACCCTAAAGTGCCACCACATACACAGGTTCACTGAGACATTGCACAACTTTTACTGACTAGGGAAGGGGGAAAGTGCATAGAGGGCGCAGGAGACTCAACCTAGTGGCCTGGAACCTCCGTTGTCTTCTACTTTGTGAACATAAAAATCTCACTCTTACTGAGTGTGTTGGGACTAATAAATTTTGTTTTCCTTATCATAAGGACTAGTGCTGAGCATAAAAGGTCAGGAATGAATTTGAAATACAGTTCCTCTGCTGTAACGTATCAGCAGAGACCTCATGTGAATTCATTTCATTCTCTAGTTATTTGTAAAGGTTTGTCAAAAAGTTAAAAGTCACTGGACTCTGAGCAGTGTTGATACTAAGCACTAAATGGGAGAGGAAAAGGCAGTTGGGATAAATAAAAATATCCTAAGGATATTGGAAGGAATAAAATCAGTTTCTCACCAAAATATCCCTTCCCTTCCTGTTTCTAACAGGCTGTAATTTGGTGAGATTAAAGAAAAGACTTGTGTCACCTAGCATGCATCTGACTAGCAGCAGTAAACAACGCTGCTGAACAGTTAGTGCAAAGATGCTTTTAACAGCACAGACTAACCTCAGTGGGAACCTCGGTCATTAGCTACGTCTTGGAGACGGCGCAATAGAGCAGAATGATTTTCTGGGCAGATTCTTTTTGCTGGTGATTCACTTCCATCGTCCAGGATAATCCCCCTCTTTTTTGTTGGAGTTTCTCCTGTCCGTATCATACTGTTGATTTCTCTTAGTCTCTATAGTAGGAGAAAAATGGATAGAAAAACTAAAATGCTAATGCATGTATCTCAGCATTAAGTTAATAAAGAACCTCAAATGAGTTAAGAAGTTTACCTCTAAGAATTACCTCAAAGAAACACTAATACATTCTGTCAGCTTCACTTCTCGGCTGGCTAAGACTGCTGACCCTTCAAGTATAGGTGGAACATTTCTGTTTTTGTAAACAAGCTTCATAGGTGAGTTTTAATACACTGTATGTGTCTACAATGTAGAAGTTCACAAAATTACGCTATTTTACTTTGTTGTGCCAGTACTGGGGCTTGAATTCAGGACCTGGCTGCTGTTCCTTAGCTTTCTTGCTCAAGACTTTGTTCTACCACTTGAGCCACAGTTCTACTGTGTTTTTTTGCTGGTTAATTGGAGGTAAGAATCTCAGAGGTTTTCTGCTCAGGCTGGGCTTTGAACTGTGATTCTCAGATCTTATCCTTAGTAGCTAGGCAATTTTTAAAGACAGCTATAGAGCATCAGATTCCAATACCATGTTTTATCATCACTTTTACACATCCATTATTTCTTTTCAAAAATAGCATTTCAGTTGGGTACCCATGTTCACGCCTATAATCCTAGCTACAAAAGAGACAGGATTGAGGTTTGATGCCAGCTCAGCATCATTTCACTGATAGTCCCTTCAGTCACGTGTTAAGCCTGACTCAACCAGAACTTTTGTAGAAAAGTTTTAATTCTCTGAGGTATCCATCGACTGCACTGACTAGTTCTGTTATCCTGGGGAGAACTGAGATGCTATTCAAATTACTTTGTGTGCTCTGGCTCCGATGAGCCTTGATGGGAGAAAGGCACTGCCTAATGGGCAGGAGCTCTTCTGTGCCTTCAGCATTAAGTTTCTCCAGTTGGCTGTATGCATTCTCTAGCAGTTTGTTGGTTATAATTTTAATATTTATGTGTACTTCATATTTCCCTATGAAAAGCCTATTAAGAATATTCATTGTGTTTAGGAAATTCAATGCTAATTCTAATGCTAAATTTGGAGAAATAGGAATAATGAATCCTCACATGTTCATTTTTGGCTAATCCTTTTTTAAAAAATTTCTATTAGCATAAACTGTCCAAAGGGGCTTCACTCTGATATTTATAGCATGCATATAATATACTTTGATTAAATTCACGCTATTACTCTTAACTCCTTCCCTTTAATGGTTTTTAGAGGGTTTCATGAATCTTTCATGCATATAATGCTTCTCTATATCCCTCCCCCTCATCTCCTTTACCCCTCTTCCACTCACTTTCCCCCTCAAGTCCCCCTGTGACCATAAGTCAATTATTTCCTTCCCTTCCCCTCCCCTCTCCCTCTTTTATTCTCTTTCAAGCCCCAGGAATCATGCTTGCTAGGTAATAAGCACGCTACCACTGAGCTATACCCCTAGCCCATCATTTTTATTCTTTACTTTGAAATAATAAAACACATCTGAGGTTTTAGATAAAAATATCATGTTCCTTTTGCTTATTAGCATATGTAGTTTCACAATTTTTTCTTTTTGGAGATACTGGCATTTGAACTCTAGTTCCTGCAGCTGCTATTCAAGCATACTATTGAGACATTATCTCCAGCTCCTTTTTTTGTTTTTGCACTATTTTTGAGATATATTAATTGTATATTCTTATATAACGCATAGACAAGTTTCTATGTAATGTGTGCTTAGACTTGACTCAGATTCAAGTCCTGGGTGTTGTCCCTGAGTTGCCTCTGCTCAAGGCTAGTGCTCTTATCATTTCAGTCATAGGTCCACTTCCAGCTTTTTTGGTAGGTTAAGAGTCTGATAGACTTTCCTGCCCAGGCTGGCTTCAAACTGCAATCCTCAGATCTCCTGAGTAGTTAGGATTACAGGCATGAGCCACTGACCACCTGGCTTAATATACTGATGAACCTCATGATGCTAATTCTATATATACAAATTATATAATTCATGACATTCTGTCATAATTCATTTACACATCACAGTAGACTATAAACATGTATATTTTTTGGTGGTGTTGGGGTTTGAACTCTGGACTTAAAGCTTGTTATGCAGGTGTTCTTATACTTAAGCCACTAGACCATACTTGTGTTTTAATTGTGCTAGTTGTGGAACTTGAACTGGACTCTGTCCCCCTGAGCTTTCTTTTTTCCTACCACTTGAGCCAGCTCCACTTCCAGCTTCTTTTGGAAGTTAATTGGAGATAAGTCTCCCAGACAGTGGTTTGAGTAGTCACCAGCTCCTGGGTCCTTTATGTTTTGAACATAGTCTTGCTTGATGCCCAAGCTCAACTGCGCTCTAGTCTTCCTTTCTGCTTCCCTTTCTTGCTGGGATGACAGGCACATGCCATATGCCCAGCCATGCTCTGTTATTTCTGAGATAGGGTCTCATTACGTAGGCCATCCTGGACTGCGAACTTCCTATCTGTGCTTCCCATCACAGCTGAGATGACAGGCATGCAGTACTATGCACAGCCTTTTTTATTGAGTTGATTATGAACATTTTTGCCTGAGCTGACCTGGAACTACAAACCTCATCGAAGTTTTCTTAGCTGGGATGACAGATGTGTGCCACCACATTTAGCTATTGGTTGAGGTTTTGCAAACTTTTGGACTGGGCTGTCATCATGAGCCTCATAATCCCAAGTGTTTTAGGATTATAGGCATGAACCATTAGCACCTGGCCATTTGTGTTTATTCTAAAATGAAATTGGTATAAAGTAGCCTAGATCCTCCAGGAATACCTACTATTCTTCTACTAAACAAGGCTGGTTTGGGTGTATACATCTACTCTTTTTCAAGGAATAGATCTATACCTAGAAATGTAATATTGTGTATCAGCGAGTTTTTTTTTTTTAAAGATAGCATACTTAAGTACCATATAGAATATCTGTATATAGATGTTACATCTTCACATATCAGTATATATGGGCATCAGTATATATGTATCTTTTTATGGTATGTCTTTCTCTAGCCAACCTTCTATTGATGTATCTCCTCCCAGCTGTTTTTAAGTAATAATAGTTTATATTCTTCAGCAGGCAGTACCACCCGCTGAAGTTGTCACTGATAATTAGTCTGCATCTTCATCGACTTTGTGTGACAGTGGAGGACTTTTTTTTTTTCTTTTGGGTCCTGTCGTGGGGCTTGAATTCTGGGCCTGGGCGCTGTCCCTCAGCTCTTCAGCTCAAGGCTAGTGCTCTACCACTTGAGCCACAGCGCCACTTCCGACTTTTTTCTTTCTGTTTATGTGGTGTTGAGGAATTGAACCCAGGGCCTCAGGCATGCAAGGCAAGCGCTCTACCACTGAGCCACCTTCCCAGCCCCCCAGTAGAGGACTTTCTTCCTGACAATGTAAATGTTTGTTATAGGTTGGCTATTGACCCAAGGGGCTGCTACTTTTTTTTTTTTTTTTTTTTGGGTCCGGTCGTGGGGCCTGAACTCTGGGCCTGGGTGCTGTCCCTCAGCTCTTCAGCTCAAAGCTAGCGCTCTACCACTTGAGCCACAGCGCCACTTCCGGCTTTTTTCTTTTTGCTTATGTGGTGCTGGGGAATCATACCCAGGGCCTCAGGCATGCAAGGCAAGCGCTCTACTACTGAGCCACCTTCCCAGCCCCGGGGCTGCTACTTTTGTTATATTCTCCTTTGGTCTCAGCAATCATCTATCTCTTGTTGGGAGAAACTCCCAATTCTGTGTTGAAATTTCTTCTGATATCTACCCAGTTAGTGATATTGTAGAAGTAGGATTCACAACCACTACTCTGACTGTTTAACTTTTTATTTTTTGTGGTTGGGGGGGGGGGGGGGGGTTCCTGAGACTTGAACCCAAGGCCTGGGCACTGTCCCTGGGATTTTTTTTGCTCAAGGCTAGCACACCAACATGTAAGCCACAGCACCACTGTGGCATTTTCTGAGTAGTTTACTGGAGATAAGAATTTCATGGAATTTTCTGCCCCAACTGGCTTCGAAGCACGAGATCCTCAGATCTCAGCTTCCTGAGAAGCTAGGATTAAGGCATGATATACCAGTGCCCAGCTTTGCTTAACCTTACCCCAAATAGTTTCCCTTGTTAAATAAGATTTTTATCTTTCTTAGTGTATACTTCTGCATGTTTGGGCAAATATCACTTGTATAACTACAGTAGATACTATAAAACATTTTCTTCAAAAAATTCCTTCATGACCTCCTATGACATCTATATACCCTCAAGTAACCACTGGTGTTTCCTGTCTCTATAGTTTGCCTTTTCTGGAATATAACAGAAATAGAATCATGAACTAAGTAGCTTACTGTTTCTAGTGTCACTTCAGCAATAATGCATTTTGGGGGTGAGGGGACAGTACTGGGGTTTGAACTCAGCTGTATGCTTGCTAAGGCACTCTACCATTGAGCCATGATCCAGCCCTTTCTTGAACTTTTTGGTAGCACCTGGGTAGTTTTAACTCAGAGCCTCACACTTGGTAGGAGCTCTACTGCTTGAGCTCTCAGTTGTGAAAGGTGCTCAACTTTTCTACCTTGGCATGGCTTAAACTATGATCTTCCAGTAACTAGGATTATAGGTATGAGCCACTGCCATCCAGATGAATGGTTTTATTATTATTACTACATTGTCTACTGCAAGTTAATCCATTAAGCACTTTAAGAACATTTCAGAATTTTTAAAATTTTCGGTGATTAAGGTTACTAGAAGTAAGTGGTATAAAGCTAGCCTTGAGCAAAAATTCTCAGAAACAGCACCCAGGCCCTGAGTTCAAGCCCCAGGACTGGCAGCAACAAAAAAAGTTACCATAAAGATTTATTCATTTTATATGAACAAAAGTATTTCACTTGGCAAATACCTAGGAATGAGATTACTGATTCTAAGTTTATATTCAACCTTAGAATGAATGCCAAAACTGTCTTGCTGAATAGCTAGAGACCATTCTGTATATAAAAGTGTTATTTGCTGGGGCTGGGAAGGTAGCTCAGTGGTAGAGTGCTTGCCTTGCATGCATGGGTTCAATTCCTCAGTACCACATAAGCAGAAAAAGCTGGAAGTGGCACTGTGGCTCAAATGGTAGAGTGCTATCCTTGAGCTGAAGAGCTGAGGGACAGCGCCCAGGCCCTGAGTTCAGCCCCCATGACCAGCAAAAAAAAAAAAAAAGTGTTATTTGCTCTACAACTGTCAATATACAGAATTTTAGCCATTTGATAGGCAGGTAAAAAGTCTTCAAATATTTTACCAACTTTTATATTTGGCAGTCTTTTCCCATTTGATTTTGAAAATTCGTTAAATATTTGTGTGTGATTGTATATATCCTTGATCAGATAATGTGATTTGTAGATATTTCCTTAGTCTGCAGCTGTAGTAGTGCAGTGTGAACTCAGGGCCTCATGCAGGTCACTGGAGGCATGCACCACGCCTAGATTTTTTTTTTTTTTTGGATACACGAGCTTGATCTTAGGGCCTTACATTCACTTGACTTGCTCATGGTTGGCGCTCAACCATTTGAGCTATGCACCCAGCCTGGCATTTTGCTGGCCAATTCGAGATGGGGTCTTGTGGATTTTTCTGCCAAGAATGACTTTGAAATGTAGTTGTCCAGATCTCAGCTTTCTGAATAGCTAGGATTATAGACATAAGACACTGATGCCTAGCAACTAAAACAATTTTGAAACAGTTGGAGGATTCACACAGTCTTAATTTTGAGATTTTAGATAAGGCAAAAGACAGGTATGGGGTTGGTGGAAGTATTGACAGTCTATGGGAGGTCCATATATAGCCCATGTGTATTTGAGTTTAAAGGCACAATGGAAAAGCTAAGTAAGTGCAAGGCTCAATAGCTCTAGTAGTAATACACACATATACAAATTGTTCCTTATTTATTGTAGTTCCTTTTTTTCATACAAATTTTAGAATCAGTTTATACAAGTAATTCGAAGAAAAGTTACCTTGTTTTCCAATTTATAAACATTTTCTCAGGCCTTTCATTCCTATTAATTTCTGGTCCTATCTATGCATGGTATCTTAAAATTTGATTCTTGAGTGCTATAGTACATTTTAGTTTTGCATACTGGTTGTGTAACCTTAGTTCCAGAAACTTTTGTAGGTTCTCTGTGAATTAAATTGCGTTATATAATTGAATGCCTTCCTTATTTTGCCTTATTGCACATGGTAGAGCCCTCCAGTTCCAGTGTTGAACCAGAAATGAGAGTGGACATACTTTGCTTTACTCCTGATTATGCTTTACTCCTGATTATCTGTAGGTATTTTGGCAAACTTTCATTATTAACTTTTCTCAGGAAGTTCTTTGGGAGTTTTTACATGCATGTATGTTGCAGATTTTCAGATGTTTTCTTCAACTATTAAAATATGTTTTCACTTCATACGTTTTGTTAGTAAAGCCAAAGCTTGGCTTACAATTTTGAGAAAAGGGTTTTAAACTAGAAATTTATTTCAAGGGCTATATATTCTTGAATTTTATTTAGGTCTTTCAAGACATTTGTCTGTTTCATCTGCATTGTCACAATTATTGATAAAAAGTCAACTTTCAACACTTTAGGCATAAATTGGTATTTTATTTTTTTCCTGAGAAATCTGCACAGAGATGTATCAACATTTCTCCAGTTTGCCCACTAATTTGACATTTTCCTTTTAAGTTTAGTGCTGTAACTCTTCCCTTTTAGTACTGCTTTAGTTGTATTCCACAGATTTTAATGTTTTGGGTTCTCATTTTAGTGTAAAATACTTTGAAATTTCTTGTGTGTTTTCTAATCTATAGAAATCTGTGATTTAGCTTCCAAAATTTTTTCCACATATCATTCCTAATGATTTATATATAATATCATAGTGTCCAGAAAAAAATACATTACTAGAATCCTTTAAAATTTACCAATGGAATGTAACTGTGGAAGAGCACTTGCTGAAGATGCTCAAGTCACTTGAGTTCAAGCCCCAATAACCACAGAGACTTCTGTTTCGATCCAAAATGTGGTCTATGTTTATAAATGTTCCATGAGCACTTTGAGTGTTCTAGAAATGTCAGCCAGTTTGCTTAACGTTCCTAATCATTGATATCTCTATGCCTACTTTATTATGTTGTCCCTTCACTGAACTTTTTCTGTTTAAGACAGCATATCCTCATTAGAAAATGAATCTCTACATTGATACTATCATTTGCTATGAAATCTAATTTTTCTAACATTACTAGTATAGCTAATCAAGCTGTAATTCACATACCATATAATTTACTCATTTACAGTTTACAACTCCATGGCTTTTGGACTTCTCCCAAAGTTGTGCAACCATCACAGTTTTTTACTTGATTCTCTAGGTAACCACTAATCTCCTTATAAACTTGCCCTTCCTGAACATTTCACGGGGATAGAATCTCATGTATTTCTTTCACGTATGTTTTCAAGGCCTATCCCTATTGAGGCATGTTCGTACACATTTTTTTTTAATTGTATAATTTTTTACTTATCACCAACTGACTGTCCAGGTTGCCAACCTTTAAATTGTGTCTTCACATTTAAATCAGGTTATATGGAAGCAGAATAGTTAACTGTTGATTTCTGTCCTGACAAAACTGCTTACTATTTTTTTAATTGGACTGAACTCAGGGCCCATGACACTCTTTCCAGCTGTTTTTTGAACTATTGTGATACTAATTTATCTTGTTTAATACTTACCTGTACATTTCATATTTAGGAAATCTATGACCAGATAAGCAGTAGTATATATTACCTTTTAGTTTTTCAGATTTCACTTAATACTCTGAAAGGAGTTATTGGGCTACCATTTTACCTCTAAGCATCACCTTCTATTGTAATCTATCATCAGTAAAAGTCTCCAAACATTGAAGTCTATATTTCAATTTTGCTCATTGTTCCAATATTTCCTTTTTTTACCCCAGAGTTATCCTATGTGGGACTGATCAAAGATACCACATAGCATGTGGTTGTCAGGGCTTTTCATCCCGTCCTCCCCCACCCCTCCCCGCCAAATGCTTTATATGATGCCCAGTGAGCTAGCCTTTTGCCTCAAAGATCAAACAACTTTCCCTTATCTGCTTTTCCTTGGATACACTCCCAGATCCCAGCAACTTTCTCACTTCATGAAGCCTAACTGAAGTTGCTCTTCCTTTGTTCAGGCCACATAAACCTGCATGCGACTGTCACACTGTACTCTATTTCTCTCCTGAGACACTGCCTGTCCCAGAATTAGGAACTCTTTTTTTTTTTTTTTTGGTCAGTTGTGGGGCCTGAACTCTGGGCCTGGGCACTGTCCCTCAGCTCTTCAGCTCAAGGCTAGCACTCTACCACTTGTGCCACAGCGCCACTTCCGGCTTTTTCTGCTTATGTGATTCTGAGGAATCGAACCCAGGGCCTCATGCATGCAAGGCAAGCATTCTACCACTGAGCCACTTTCCTTGCCCAGAGTTAGGAACTCAAACTAGTTTAGAGATCCAAGTTGTTTTTTTTTAAACAAATATATGTGTAGAAACAATTTCTACAAATGAAGCTAGGCACTGGTGGCTCACACCTGTAATGCTAGCTACTCAGGAGGCTGAGATCTGAAGATTGTGGTTCAAAGCCAGTCTAGGCTTTGGCCATGAGACTCTAATTAACTACCTGAAAACCAGAGGTGGAGCTGTAGCTGAAAGTACTAGAACACTGGCCTTGAGCAAAAGAGCTCAGGGACTGTGTCCAGGCCCTGAATTCAAGCTTTACAACCAACAAAATAATTTTTACAAATGAAATAAAAGCCACAAATGTCCAGATTTATAGCCAGTTCTCAAGTCCTCAACCCATATCTGGTTTCTGCTTCATTGGGATTTTATGGCTACTGTTCCCTGGCAGTTCCCATCACTCTAGTAGTCAATGCCTATGCTAAGCACATGCCTGATTTTTGCATCCTACAACAAAGACTAAGATTTAGTTAGTCTCACCTTTGATGGACTGTTGCTGAAGTAGTAAAAAATCTTTTCTCGAGGAGAAAGCATTGTTTCATTTTTATGTGGGGAAATGTAGATAGGATGATTTTGAGACAGCTGTATTCGGCGAGGGGAGCCTGTTCTTATAAATGGATAGGGAGAGAGTGGAGGGGCATCCATCTGTTATAAACAAAATCAGTACAATAAACTAGTTTATGAATGTTACACAGTGATGTTTACAATAACAAACCTAAAGAAATTATCGTACTAAAACTTTTTAAGTACTTAAAAGTTAGTGCCAGTTGGTGCCAATCACTGTTCTAAGTACTTTTTAAATAAGTTACATCATTTAATCTTCATAACCCCATAAGTTTGAAAATACTGTATTACACTAAGAAACAGTGTTTAGTTTGCAAAGTCATCACTGTTAAATACTGAAAAATTAAAACTTCATGTAGCTACTGTCTCTCATATTTCTGTCCTTGTAGGGAGTAGGGAATCCAATGTAGTGTTAGTCTTTTTTATGGTTGTTGTTCCCAGTATGGGGCAGGGCTTGAACTCAGGGGCCTTGTGCTTTTGCTTTTGCTTTTTTGCTCAAAGCTGGAACTCTACCACTTGATCCACACTTCCACTGGCTTTTTGCTGGTTAACTGAAGAATTCCATAGACTATTTCTGCCTGGCTTTGAACCATGATCCTTAAATCTTAGCCTCTTGAGTATGAGCCACAAACGCCCAGCTTTCCTTTTCCTTCTTATTTGCTTATATTAAGTTATGGGAGGAGATGTGTTCATCGTTACATCTCCACACATACATTCTTAATCCTTAATGCTCAGGAGTAGAAATGTTGTTTAGTTTAGTCAAATCGCTAGCTAGAGATTTCCATAGCTTTATTCATTGAAACTGAGGGATTCCTCCATCTCTTAGAACTGGAAGAAACATGAAATAATCCATGTTGAACTTACTGTATTTGCCTGTGAGTACTTCATGGCAAATGCTTTCATTTGTTTTATATAGATGTTGTTATAGAACTGAATGAGGTCTCCTCTCTCTTCCTCTTCCATGTCACTGTTTGCACCTGTGAGCCTAGTAGGTGTAGGAGGGGCACTGCTGGGTTGTGGAACTGGCAAGGTGCTACTTGACCTCATAACTGGACTGGAGTCTCTACTGGCTGCAGACAGTAAAATAAAGGATGTTAATGTTAAACTGCTAGTACACACTATTTTCAGAAAAATTTCAGAGACTGAGACCATCTATTGCACTACTTATTAATGACAGTAGAGGGAATGTTAATTTTGGTGACACCGTTTTTGCTTTAACACCAGGCTGGCCTCACTATAATCTGGAGTGCAAGGATTATAGATATTTACCACACTGTCTGACTTGACACTTGTTTATACCACGGTGCAAAACTCAGGATAATAACCATACTCCCAAACCATAAATATTACAAGAAAGTTTTCTAGAACCAGAGTTCTGCACTGTGAGGTACAAGTCTACAATGGCATTTCTGTGGCCTGGCTCCAAATGGCATGCTGCCTGTCTGGAACCTTTCCTAATTTCCCTGAAGAAAAATGTTATGCACTTTGTGCTTCACAACTGGAAGGAAAGACAACTTTGACACTAAATTTAAAATTTATTATTACAGCCAATCCTTTTCCAAGAAAGACTTTCTCTAGTAGTTTTTTGTAATCCTTTTTCTCTAGGCTAAGAAAGAAATATAGTTCTAATCGTATTTGGGTAAGTTCATGAAGCATTCACTTACCTCGGTCTTTGTTTGGTTCTGTTGGAGAATTCTGATGGCTTCTGCTTTCACTGCTGCCAGAATTTCTTCTTTTTTGTTTTCCTTTTATCAAAACACTTCTATAGACCTTTAAAAAGATAGCAGAAAGGGATGGAAATTAGTTTTTATTAATCATATAGATGATGAGACCTTGACAGGCTACTTGATTTTCCCCAAAATACTAAGTTGTGTTCCTCAGGGATGTTAAAAACTGCACCCAAGTCAGAAGTGGTAGCAAACACCTGTAATCCCAGTACTTGGAAAGCTAAAGCAGGCGATTAAAAGTCCAACCTCAAAAAACCCCAAAAGAACTGTAACCAGTTACACAGCTACTACTACAAGCCTTAAATGAGAGTTAATCTCACTTCAAATTCCAAGTGCTACCTAAAATACTACGTAGCAGTAATAGTCTTTAACAAAATGAAATCATTCCAAGTCAGATAGAAACTTGACTTTCAGGGCTGGGAAGATGGCTCAGTGGTAGAGCGCTTGCCTTGCATGCATGAGGCCCTGGGTTCTATTCCTCAGCACCACATAAGCAAAAAAGAAAAAACCGGAAGTGACTCTGTGGCTCAAGTAGTAGAGCGCTAGCCTTGAGCTGAGGGACAGCGCCCAGGCCCAGAGTTCAGGCCCCAAGACCGGACCAAAAAAAAAAAAAAAAAGAAACTTTCAGAAACAGTATTCAAGATAAATTGTATTAAAGATTAATTGAATTTTCATTTTAATTCATGTAAATTTCATATAAGATTTTGGTTAACTGTACAGTAGTGTTCTTATTAAACTAGATGGAAAAGTGACATAGAAACCAACTAACTCCTTAATTTGCATCTATGTCAAGATTCTCTGAATTAAAGTAGCCTTAGTTGTTTATTCTCAAAAAAAAGGGCACAAAACCAACTACAGGTAATTTTTAAATTTACCATCAAATACTTTAGCTTTCTTTTCAACTCCAAGAGAAAACATAATTACCTGGCTGCATGCCTGTGGCTGAGTCCTATAACAACGCATGATATTCTGGAAAGACTTGTCTTCTTTTGTGACCTGGTAAAGAATGACAGTACTCAGAACTTCTGGCATTAACAGTGTGAAAGCTCAGTGAACCTAATGCTTACTGCAAGTGATTTTTTTTTTTAAGTCTCTAGAAATAGTGTTAAGGGCATATACCAATTGGACAAATGTCCATGAAAATCTAAAATTATGAGCAGAAGCATGATATGTGAACTAAGATTTGGAATACAAAGGTACAATTGAATTGAAAAAATAGGAACTAGCTAAGTAGAATAAGGAGGCTTGGCATGGCAGTACATGTCTATAATCCCAGCTACAAAGGAAGGAGCTACTCCAGATTACAGACAGCCTAGTGACACAGTAAAACCTGTGTCACCAAAACAGACATGGGAAGATTACAGTTCAAGACCAAAATTAACAGGACTTAAGAAACAAAGAACTTCCACTTATCTGGTCGAATCACTACTAAATAACCCCATGCTGCTGATCACATGTATGGTATATATGTGTATACTGGAGGGGAACCAGGAAGACAACACAAAACTAGAGGGAATCAGGGGAAAACATTAACAGTGGACCCATCAGCTGCACTGGATATTGACCAAAATGAACTAAGCAACTCAATGGCAGTGATGGGAGGGAGGGAACAAATGGGAAAGAGGGAACAGCTGATGCTATGCCAAACAAAAGAAATGTACATACCACCCAAAGTGGAAGAAATAACTGTATTGCAAAGCTCATAGAACTCATAAATGTTATAGACCATGATAGACAATTTGTTCCAGGAAAGTTAGAATGTGTTTGTGACTTAAACTGAGCATCATTCTCCCACAATACTGTGAAATTTGGGAAATTATGTAACCACTTAATCACAATAAAAAATTTGAAAAAAAAAAATCAGTGGGTGTTTGTGATCCCAAGTATGTGAGAAAGGTAGCGGTAGAAGGCTCATAGCCTGGACAAAAAGCAAAACCCTATCTGAAAAAATAAACTAAAGCATAAAAAAGGACTTGGGGAATGGCTCAAATGGTCCTGAGTGGGGCTGGGAAGGTGGCTCAGTGGTAGAGCGCTTGCCTTGCATGCCTGAGGCCCTGGGTTCGATTCCTCAGCACCATCTAAGCAAAAAGAAAAAAGCCAGAAGTGGCGCTGTGGCTCAAGTGGTAGAGCGCTAGCCTTGAGCTGAAGAGCTAAAGGACAGCGCCTAGGCCCAGAGTTCAGGCCCCACGACTGGACCCAAAAAAAAAAAAAAAATGTAATGTGAATACCAGAAGGGATCAGAGGGAGAAAAACAGAATGTTCAAAGAACCCAAACTTAACATTGTGGCAAATTCTTTAAACCAGCATTTGGGAGGCACGGACAGGAAGATCAAGAGTAAGGTCACCCTAGGCTGCTACATAGTGAGACCATCTCAAAAACAAATACTGAAAGTTTATTTTAAAACATTGATGTAAGCTGGGCGCTGGTGGTTCACGCCTGTAATCCTAGCTACTCAGGAGGCTGAGATCTGAGGATCACGGTTCAAAGCTAGCCCAGGCAGGAAACTCCCTGAGACTCATCTCCAATAAACCACTAGAAAACCGGAAGTGGTGCTGTGGCTCAAGCGCTAGAGCGCACAGACAGCAACCAAGCCCAGAGTTCAAACCCCACAACTGACCCATCCCCCCCCAAAAAATTGATGTACATACCCAGAAACTAAAATCCAAGTAAGAGAATATCTTGAAAACATCAAGAAAACAGTATTTCATTTACAGAGAAGCCCCACTAAACAGCTAACTTGTCATCAGAAACTGTTCAAGAGGAAGTAGGGTAACAAATTCAAAGTAATCAAAAATTTTAAAAGCCAGAATCTTCTCTGCAGCAAAGTTATCTTTCAAAAGTGAAAACACATTCTCCTTATTTAAAATATTCAGAAAAGTTCTTGATGCTAAAACCAAGTACACCTAGACAGTAATTTCAAATATACATAAATGAGTAAGAAAACTGGAGTAAAGACACAGGCAGTTAACCAATAAAGCAAATAAAACAGATGTAGTATACTTGTTAATAGTACACAGGAAATGGATAGGAGTATTGAACAAAGGGAATGAACCCAGATAGCAACTAAAACCCAAAGAAGCCATTTAGATAAGCAGAAATGATAAGGTTAGTATAACAAAGGCTATAGACTTATACTCCTTTCTACTCTTGGCTCCAGAACTAGTGGATTTGTTATACTTAATGGATATGATTAACATACAAAATTATACCACCACAAACAGAATAACCTCCATATCTCCCTGGAATTAAGTCAGTATGAATCAACCTGATACAGCCATAACAAATTATTACCAATAGCTCATGAGTAAGGACAAAGTTCCTCAACAAATTAGTAAAAATAAAATTTATAACTATGGGACATAGGAATGCAAAGCTGGTCTAACATGAAAATATAAATTAAGTCAATGAATGCAGAAAGAAACCTTAAACAGAAATAAAACATCTTTTTATGTTTAAAAACACTCAAAACACTAGGAATATAAAGGAAAATTTCTCAATCTGTTAGCACTCGGAGTAAGGGGACAACTGTGAATGTACTGCTTTTAGTGGAAAACTAAAGACAAAGATTTCTGCTTTCAGCATTGTATTCGAGTCATGGTAATTGGAAAAGAAAATACATGGCATTTAGTATGGACAAGTAAAATAGGCAGATTATATAACCATGTACAAAAGAAAAACCTAAGGAATCTACTTAAAATTAGAACTGACTTCAGCAAGACTACTAAATACTAAAACTGTCTTTCTATGCACTTGTAATGAACACATCAGAAATGAGAATTGCATTTATAAACGCATCGAAAATTAGTAGTAAAGGGCCAGAGTTATACTCTGACCAAATACAAAACTGTTGAAAAATGGATCTTAGAAAATGTGGAAACATGTCACATTCTTGGATCAGGATGGCAAAATTGGTAAGATGGTAAAACTCCCCAAATTGATCTACATACTTACCTCTATCAGAATTGCAGGTGATTCCTTTGTGAAACTGACAACTTGATTTCAAAGTTCAAGGGTATTAAAATAGTCAAAATAATGAAAAATCAAAGTATAGGGACTCACATTTCCCAACTCTAAACCTTATAAAAAAAGCAAAACTAGGGGCTGGGAAGGTGGCTCAGCTGTAGAGTGTTTGCCTTGCATGCATGAGACCCTGGGTTCGATTCCTCAGCACCACATAAGCAAAAAGAAAAAAGCCGGAAGTGGTTCTGGGGCTCAAGTGGTAGAGTGCTAGCCTTGAGCTGAAGAGCCGAGGGACAGAGCCCAGGCCCAGAGTTCAGGCCCCCGTGACTGGAGCCAAAAAAAAAACAAAAAAAAACGAACTGGAGGGGAGGCTGGGAAGGGATGTGAAGGGTAAACAAAGGAGGAGGCTGCAATGCTTGATAAGAAATGTTCGCATTATCCTGCCCATGTAATTGTAATCCCTCTGGTACAGTATGTTCACAAAAAATTAAAATTAAAATTTAAAAAAAAAAAAGCAAAACTAGGAAACAAAGGAGGAGGCTACAATGCTTGATAAGAAATGTACTCATTATCTTGCCCATGTAATTGTAACCCTTCTGTACAGTATTTTCACAATGAAAAACAAAACAAAAAAACTTTCTAGGAAAAAAAGCAAAACTAATCAGGAGAGAATGGTACTGCATCAAGACAGACAGACAAACAGAATAGATCATCATGTCTATGATGAGCTGCATTTTCAAAATGATGCCCAAATCATTTAGTGGGGTGGGGAGGGGCACAGGCTTTTTAACAATGCAACTAGAAAACCACATATAAAAGACTAAAGCTGGCCAGGTGCTAGTGGTTCACACCTGTAATTCTAGCTATTCAGGAGGCTGAGATCTGAGGATCATAGTTCAAAGCCAGCCTGGGCAGAGAAGTCTCTGAGATTCTTATCTCCAATTAATTACTCAAAAAAATGGAGCTGTGGGCTGGGAAGGTGGCTCAGTGGTAGAGCGCTTGCCTTACATGCATGAGGCCCTGGGTTCGATTCCTCAGCACCACATAAGCAAAAAAAAAAAAAAGCCGGAAACGGTGCTGTGGCTCAAGTGGTAGAGCACTAGCCTTGAGCTGAAGAGCTGAGGGACAGTGCCCAAGCCCAGAGTTCAGGCCCCCATGACCAGACACCCCCCCCAAAAAAAATGGAGCTGTACTTCAAACCTGGTAGAGCATTAAGCCTTGAGCAAAAGAGCTCAGGGACAGCACTCAGGCCCTGAGTTCAAACCCCAAGACTGACACCCCCACCCCCCAAAAGAGAAAAAACCCACACAGGACAAATGTTTGTAAATTATATATCTGACAAGGTAGTTGTATCCAGAATATGTAAAGAACTCCAGAAACTCAAAAATAACCCAATGAACAAAGAGGCTAGACACAGCTCACCTGTAATCCTAGCTACTTAGTAGGTTGGAGACCAAGCAAAAAGTTCACAAGACATCATTTCAACCAGTGAAGGTACAATGGCAACACAAGTATCACTCTAGCTAAGCACAAAGCTGAGAATGGGAGGATCATGGTTATAGGCCAGACCAGGCAAAAAAGTTCCCCAGGATCTCATCTCAACAGAAAAAAGTCTAGTATGTCATCCCAATTATAACAAGACGCACAATATAGGATCATGGTACAGAGCAGCCAAGACAAAAACTAGATCCTATCTAAAAAAAAAAAAAAAATGGGATGGAGGCATGGTTCTGGTGGTAAAATACCTATCAAGTATGAGGCCTTGAGTTCAAACCCAGTACCACACTCAAAATGAAGAGGATGACATACAGAGCAAGGTTCAATCTTATAAACAACTTTTTGGAAGGTGGCTCAGTGGTAGTGTTTGCCTTGCATGCATGAGGCCCTGGGTTTGATTCCTCAGTACCATATAATCAGAAAAAGCCAGAAATGGCACTGTGGCTCAAGTGGTAGAGCCACCATCCTTGAGCTGAAGAGCTGAGGGACAGTGCCCAGGCCCAGAGTTCAAGCCCCACCACTGACCAAAAAAAAAAGAAACCATTTTTTTTCATGAGCAAGGATTTAAATATATTCCTCCCAGCAAATGAAAACATGTTTGTCAATAAATGCAGAGAAGCCACAACCATATGAGAGAGGCACTTCATACATTTAGAATGATTAGTATAAAAAAATTCTGATAATGGAGGGCAATAGGGCACAATAAAAGATGCTCAACTAATTAAATACAGATCAAAATCACAGTGAGATGGCATTCCATACTAATATGACTACAACTAAAAAAAAGTTGACAAGGATATAAGAAATTGGAACTCTCCTGCATAACTGATGATAGTGTAAAATGGTAGTTGCTTAAAAGGTTAATCATAGCCAGGTACTGGTAGCTCATGCATGTAACTCTAGTTACACAGAAGGCTGAAATCTGAGGATCAAAGTTTGAGGCCAGCGTGGGCAGGAAAATTGCTAAGACTCTTACCTACAATTAACCACCCAAAAGCCAGAAGTGGAGCTTAGCTCAAGGGATAGAACACTAGCCTTAAGACAATACAAATATAAGCCGGGTGCTGGTGGCTCACGCCTGTAATCCTAGCTACTCAGGAGGCTGAGATCTGAGGATCGAGGTTCAAAGCCAGCCCGGGCAGGAGAGACCGTGAGACTCCTATCTCCAATAAACCACCAGAAAACCGGAGGTGGCGCTGTGGCTCAAGTGGTAGAGCGCTCGCCTTGAGCTGAAGAGCTGAGGGACAGTGCCCAGGCCCAGAGTTCAAGCCCCACAACCGACAAAAAAAAAAAAAAGACAATACAAATATAATAAACTGAAAAGAGAGAAATTAAGACCTTTTTTTTTTTTTTTTTTTTTTTGGGTCTGGTCATGGGGCCTGAGCTCTGGGCCTGGGCGCTGTCCCTCAGCTCTTCAGCTCAAGGCTAGTGCTCTACCACTTAAGCCACAGCACCACTTCGGCTTTTTTCTTTTTGCTTATGTGGTGCTGGGGAATCGAACCCAGGGCCTCAGGCACGCAAGGCAAGCACTCTACCACTGAGCCACCTTCCCAGCCCCAGAAATTAAGACCTTTATAAGTTGTTTGTGCTAATCTAAAACGATACCATACTTTGAAAAACTAGCAGTTCCTCAAAGGGTTAAAACATAGCTATATGTAGAAGAAATCAGGTTGAGCGAGGTAAGCCAAGAGCAGAGACAAATGGCACATGGTCTCCCTGATAAGTGGATGTTAAATCCAAAATGTAAGGTGATACAACAAAATTAACAAGGCTTAAGAAACAAAGGACTTCCACTCATCTGGTCGAATCACTACTAAATAACCCCATGCTGCTAATCACATATATGGTATATATGTGCACACTGGAGGGAAACCAGGAGGATGACACAGAACTAGAGGGAATCAGGGGAGAACATACAACAGTGGGACCCATCAGCTGCACTGAACATTGATCAAAATGAACTAAGCAACTCAATGGCAGCGATGGGAGGGAGGGAACAAGTGGGAAAGAGGGAACAGCTGATGCTATGCCAAACAAAAGAAATGTACACATCACCCGATGTGGAAGAAATAACTATTGCAAAAAGTTCAAAGAACTCATCAATGTTATAGACCACGATAGACAATTTGTCCCATGAAAGTTAGAATGTGTTTGTGACTTTAACTAAGACACTATCTCACAATACTGTGAAATTTGAGCAACTATGTAATCACTTAATCACAATAAAGAATTTGAAAAAAAAAAAACAGTTGTATGATCAATGCATTCTTCAGATTATGCCCTAGAAAATGACAGCAGGTGTCACAAAAACCATATCCATAAATGCTAGTATTATTCATAATATTCAAAGAGTAGAAACAATCCTATATAGACATTAACCTAGAGACTGGAATATTCTAAAGCTGAACTTTGCCAGTATCTGTGAATATATTGACTCATTTTACCTGATTGGATATCTCAGTAAGGCTGTTTAAAAATGTTCTGAGTAGTGAAGGAGAATCTCCGAAGGTACTCACCTTTGCCATCACATAAATGGCACACATTAACAACTGGTCCAGATGTCTGTCCATCATAAGTTCAGGACACTGAATTATGGAGAATTCAAAGCAGGTCCAGATTTTTTTCCTCAGTTCATCTGAAATATCTAGTTTAGCACAAAGATCCCGAAGGCGGACACCAGCTAAGTGGTAAACCTAACAGATAAACAAGACTACTTTAGACTCTGTTTAACATACATTTTGCAAGCACATGCTTTGCTTGAGAGTATGTAACTTACCTTTCTAAAGAAGAGTGATAAAGAGCTGGTCTTCCTGGGTCTAACACTGCCGTTGGGTAAAGGCTGGCCTTGTTTAAGCTGTTGTCCACCTGGGGAAAGCTGCTGAATGGATACTTGACCAGGGACTTGCAAAGTTGTTCCTGTCACCTGTTGAGTACTCAGACTTCCAGTCAGGGCTTGAGCACTGAGGGGCTGGATAGAGCCAGTAACAGCCTGTGCCTGCCCCCCAACATTGACTTGAACTGGGAAGAATGTTATCCCTCCATTTTCATTGGCAATACCTACAGTTTGTTACAGAGGATGAGAAAAAAGAAAATGTTGGTTTATGAGGCCTTCCTGGCAGAGATTTCACTTCTCCTAATCCCTCACCACTCTATCTCAGATTGCCCCTCCTGCTAAATCTCAGGTAACTTTCCATTAAATGCCAAGAACTCAGAACTAGGTGGCTTACGCCTGTAATCCTAGTTACTCAGGAGGCTGAGATCTGAGAATTGTGGTTGGAAGCCAGGCCCAGGCAGGAAAATCTGAGACTCTTACCTCCAATAAACTACTCAGAAAAAGCAGGAAGTGGTGCTGTGGCTCAAGTGGTAGAGAACTAGCCTTAAGCACAAAGAGGCTCAGGGACAGCATCCAGGCCCTGAATTTAAGCTGTAGGACCAGCAAAGAAGAAAGAGAGAAGGAAAGAAAGGAAGGAAGGAAGGAACAAATGAACAAACTCAGTGTCCAACTCTGCCCTCCTTACCTTGTACTGGAATGGTCACTGTCTGTCCATTGTTGGCTGTAACAGTGGCTGTTGCCATGGTGACCAGGGTCTGTCCAGGAACCGGTGTAACAGAAACAGTTTCTCCAGATACATTCTGCACAGGGACAGCATTGACTAGGGGCTGTTGGGAGACACGCCCAGCTGTCCCTCCATCAGAAGGGCTATCACTCTCAAATAGCCTCCTTCTGGTACTACTGACTGTTGGTGAGCTGTATCTATCATACAATGTGGTTGGAGATGTCATGCCTGGGAGCAAAAGAAATCAACTCATTTAACACTAAGAGAACAAATCTGACTTCCAAACAGAACTGCAATACATTGTTTGAAATACTTCATAATTTTAAAAGCAAACAAAAATTACCTAACTCATAGTACATGTACAATTAATGAATTATAAAGAACATTTTGTCTCACATACTCGCTTCTTGGTCTACCTTCTAAATCAATTTAGGTTTTGTCTTCTAACTACTACAAATATATATGAGTTAATTTAAGGAATTATCCTGTATATAATTTTTTGTTCAAATTCAAGCACATGTACAATGTAATTTCACTATAAAGACGGCAGTTGGTAAGAGGATTTGTTGGTAACTCATCTCATAGCTGTTTGGTTTGAACAGTACTGGAGTTTGAACAAGTGCATGCTAGGCAGACTGTACTACTTGAACCACAACCAAGCCCTTTTTCTGGTAAGTTCGCCCATAGAGTTCTATTTTAGTCTAGGTCAGGCCTCAGACTAAGATCCTCCTACTTATACCACCTACATAGCTGGATGACAAGCATGAACTACCATGCCTAACTTTGTTGGTTGAAATGAGGCCTTTCTTTTTGGCCAAGCTGTCCTTGAACCACAATCTTCCTGATCTTTACTTTCTAAATAGGTGGAACTATAAGCATGAACAGCATACTTAGCCACACTGTTGTCTGGGGTTCTTTATTTTTTTGCAGTACATGAGTTTGAATTCAGTGTCATCTGCTTTATCATGAATCATGTCTCAGCTTTCATTGTTTTTGTCCAGGATTGGCCTCATACAGAGATTCTCCTAACCATTTCTTGTGTAGTTGAGACCACAGGCACGTATATTGATGAGATGAAGTCTACCTTTTGCCCAGTTATCTCTATCGCCTAAGTACTGCGCCCAGTGCCCCCCACCTTTTAGTGCATTTTCTTTTTCTTCATATACAAAATCAATAATAATACTGTTCCTCATCAAGATGGACATACATGGGTTAGATTCAGTTAAGGTTGTTTGTTTCTTTGTGGTTCTTGGGGCTTGCACTCAGGGCCTGGGCAATGTCTCTGAGCTTTTTTGCTTAAGACTAGTGCTCTACTACTTAAGCCACAGCTCCACTTCTGGCTTTTAAAAAAATTTATTATAAAGGTTATGTACAAAGGGGTTACAGTTATGTAAGTCAGGAAGAAAGAATACATTTCTTTAGGAAAACGTCACCCCTTCCCTCATGTTCTCCAAGTTTTTCCCTCTCATCCCCACCCACAACTTCTATAGTTAATTTTCAAAATAGTGTTCAGTGAGTATCATTGCTGCACATTAATTCACCCTTTGTCCCTCCTTTTTTATTTTTATTTTTTGGTAGCTAATAGGAGATAAGAGTCTCATGGACCTTCTTGCCTGGGCTGGCTTTAAATTGCAATCCTCAAATCTCAGTCTCCTGAATGGCTAGGATTACAGGTGTGAGCCACCAGTGCCCAGCTAGTCTGTTTTTGTTTTTTCAGATTGAGATATGGCTCACATACCATACATTTCATCCATTTATGTAGTTCAATGGCTTTTGTTATACTAGTTTTGTTTTGTTTTTTTGTTGGTCATGGGACTTGAACTCTGGGTCTGAAGAGCTGAAGAGCTCAAGGATAGAGCTCTATCACTTAAGCTACAGCACCACGTCCAGTTTTCTGGTGTTTAATTGGAGGTAAGAGTCTCAGGGACTTTCCTGCCCAGGCTAGCTTTGAACCATGATCCTCAGATCTCAGCCTCCTGAGTAGCTAGGATTATAGGCATGAGCCACCAGCACCTGGCATACCTCACAATTTTTATTTTTTTTGGACGATCGTGGGGCCTGAACTCTGGGCCTGGGCGCTGTCCCTCAGCTCTTCAGCTCAAGGCTAGCATTCTACCACTTGAGCCACAGCGCCATTTCCAGTTTTTTCTGCTTATGTGGTGCTGAGGAATCGAACCCAGGGCCTCATGCATCCAAGGCAAGCGCTCTACCACTGAGCCACCTTCCCAGGCCCCGCCATTAACACTTATTAAACTATCTCATTATTCCAAATAAAAAGCTTAATTTTTAGTACCCACACTAGTATATGAACTTTCAAGACACAAACATTTCTCTTCCTTTTTCATTTTCCCTGCAAGTTAGTAGTTTTTGAAACCTAAGACTTGAAGTAGGAATCATAAAAGCTATTGACAAGTAAACCCTGAATGACCATAAATGCCAGGGGCCAGCATCTCAGGCCTGTGATCCTACCTACTTAGGCAGAAAAGTCTGTGAGAATCGCATCTCCAATTAGCCACCAAGCTGTCAGTGGAGCTCTGGCTCAAGGGGCAGAGTGCTAACATTGAGCAAAAAAGCTGAGACAGAGACCAGATTCTAAATTATTTAGGCCCCAGGACCACTACACACACACACAAAAAAAACAAAAACAAAAAGCTTATAGACCTCTATTACAAAGCTGCTGAAATTACACTGGGATCACTATCATGTAAAGCATTCAGGAAAATAGAGAAATAACAGGTACAAGGAAAATTAAGGTGAATTTTAGTGTCAAATCTTAATCTATACATTAGAAAAGGAAAAACATAGGGGGGAGTAAGTGGAAGAAAAACGAGAGAGGAGGTAACAATGTTGGACATGAAATGTACTCTCATTGTCTTACTTATGTAACTGTAACCCCCTCTGCCCTCCATACAATACCTTTACAATAAAATTTAAATTAAAAAAAAAAGAAAAAGGAAAGGGAAAATTCTACAGGACCAAAAAAGACCAGCTGAATAATAAACAGAAAAAGTTAAGCTACATATCTCTTTAGAAATAAGGAAATTTTCAGAGATCATTTTTATTTATTTTGATTTTTGAGATGGGGGAGACTACAGGCTGGTGTAGTCCAGGCTTACCTTGAATGCATAATTCTCCTCCCATAGCCTAAGTGCTAGGATTTTCAGAAGTGTACATGATGTCCTGTATCTATCATTGTAATTTCTTTTTTTTCCCCCTAGTTATGGGGCTTGAACTCAGGGCCTGGGCACTGTTCCTTAGCTTCTTTTTTTTGGGTCCAGTCGTGGGGCCTGAACTCTGAGCCTGGTGCTGTCCCTCAGCTCTTCAGCTCAAGGCTAGCGTAGCGCTCTACCACTTGAGCAACAGCGCCACTTCTGGCTTTTTTTCTTTTTGCTTATGTGGTGCTGAGGAATTGAACCCAGGGCCTCATGCATGCAAGGCAAGCACTCTACCACTGAGCCACCTTCCCAGCCCCCCTAAGCTTCTTTTGTTCAAGACTAGCACTCTATCACTTGAGCCATAGTGCCATGCCCAGCCTTGTCTGTTTATGTGGTACTGAGAATCAAACCCAGGGCTTCATGCATGCTAGGAAAGCACTCTACCACTATGCCACATTCCCAGCCCCCCTACCATTAAATATAAGCAAGAGTAGTCTAATATAATTCAATAATTCAGAATGTTTGGGGCTGCACAACTATTCTTTAAAAGAAAAATGAGACTTTGGCAAAGTAGCGGGATACAAAATCAACCCACAAAAATCAGTCACCTTCCTGTACACCAACAATGTACAAGCAGAAAGGGAAATAAAGGAAACAACCCCATTCACAATAACCCCCCCAAATATATTTAGGAATTAACCTAACCAAAGATGTAAAATAGGCCGGGCGCTGGTGGCTCACGCCTGTAATCCTAGCTACTCAGGAGGCTGAGATATGAGGATCGCGGTTCAAAGCCAGCCTGGGCAGGAGAGACCGTGAGACTCCTATCTCCAATAAACCGCCAGAAAACTGGAAGTGGCGCTGTAGCTCAAGTGGTAGAGCGCTCGCCTTGAGCTGAAGAGCTGAGGGACAGCGCCCAGGCCCAGAGTTCAAGCCCCATGACTGACAAAAAAAAAAAAGATGTAAAATAACTATTTAATGAAAACTATAAAAACTTAAATTACAGAAGACACCAGGAAATGGAAAGACCTTCCATGCTCTTGGATAGGCAGACTTAATATAGTGAAAATAGCCATACTGCCAAAATTAATATACAAATTCAATGCAATTCTTATTAAAATCCCAATGACATACATTACTGAAATACAGAAAACACATGTGGAACAACAAAAGACCTAGAATAGGCAAAACAATTCTAGGCAAAAAAGACAACATGGGAAAGACCTCGATGCCGGACTTCAAACTCTACTATAGAGCCATAATAACAAAGACAGCATGGTACTGGCACAAAAACAGACTCCAAGACCAATGGAATAGAAGATCCAGAAATCAAACACTTACAGTCAGCTGATATTTGACAAAGGAGCCAAAGACATACAGTGGAAGAAGCACAGCCTGTTCAACTACTGGGCCTGGGAAAACTGGGCGGCCACATACAGAAAACTAAAAGTGGATCCCAGCCTATCACCATGCGCTAACATCAACTCAAAATGGATTGAAGACCTTAACATCAAACCTGAATCTCTGAAACTACTGCAAGATAGAGTAGGAAAGATACTTTGACTTAAAGGCACAGGCAGGAACTTCCTGAACAGAGTCCCAGGGTCACAACAAATTGGAGAATTGGAGAGAACTCGACAAACGGGACTACCTTAAAATAAAAAGCTTCTGCACAGCTAAAGATATAGCAACCAAGCTAGAAAGACAACCAACTAACTGGAAAAAGTATTTACCAGCAATATATCAGACAAGGGGTTAATATCCAGTATATACAGGGAACTCAAGAAATGAATCCCTCCCAAATCCAACAAACCAATTATTAAATGGACAAGGGAACTAAAGAGAGACTTCTCAGAAGAAGAGATAAAAATGGCAAAGAAACACATGAGGAAATGTTTACCATCCCTGGTTGTGAAGGAAATGCAAATAAAGACAACTCTGAGATACCACCTTACCCCAGTCAGAATGGCCCACATCCTAAAGTAAGCCAACGACAAATGCTGGAGGGGATGTAGAGAAAGAGGAACCCTATTACACTGCTGGTGGGAAGAATGTACACTTATACAACCACTTTGGAAAGCAGTCTGGAGGGTCCTCAGAAAGCTAAATATAGACCTCCCCTATGACCCAGTCATACCACTCCTAGGCATCATCTATCCTGAACAACAGGAACCAGGATATAAGGACACATGTACCTCCATGTTTATTGCAGCACTGTTCACTGTTCACTGCCAGGATATGGAAACAACCCAGATGCCCCACCACAGATGAATGGATCCAATAACTGTGGTATCTATACGCAATGGAATATTATGCAGCCATTAGAAAGGACAAAATCATGGCATTGCAAGGAAATGGATGGAACTAGAAGAAATCATGTTGAGTGAGGTAAGCCAAGAGCAAAGAGACAAACAGTACATAGTCTCCCTGATAAGTGGATGTTAAATCCAAAAATTAAGGTGATATGACAGAGTTGACAAGACTTGAGAAACAAAGGACCTCTATTCATCTGATCACACATATAGTATATATGTGCACACCGAAGGAAAACTAGGAGGAGGACACAGAACTAGAGGGAATCAGGGGAAAACATACAACAGTGGGACCCATCAGCTGCACTGGACATTGATCAAAACAAACCAAGCAACTCAATGGCAGAGATGGGAGGAAGGGAAGGAATGAGTGGGAAAGAGGGAACAGCTGACACTATGCAAAAGGAAAGGAATGTACATATCACCCAATGTGGAAGAAACAACTGTACTATCAAAGCTCATAGCACTCATAAACTTTATAGACCATGAGAGACAATTTGTTCCATGAAAGGTAGAATGTGTTTATGAATTTAATTAAGCATCACTACCCCACAATACTGTAAAATTTGTGAAATAAAGAATTTGCAAAAAGAAAAAAAAGAAAAGTGAGGCTACAAGTGTAGTTCAGTGGCAAAAAGACTTGTGCGCGGCATGTGAGAAGCCTTGGGGCTAATTCTGAGCATCACAAAACAGTAGCTATTTCCTATATCTAAATTTTTAAATTATACTTTTATTATCTCTTAGTTGTACAAAAAGGAGTTACACGTCAACAAATGAGTCTATAAATACAATGCATGTTGATCTGCATGTTGATCGCTATCACCCGTTTCAACATTTCTCCTCTCAATTTTCTTAGTTTCTTAGGATATGTTTTGAATATAAAGACTGCATTCACCTCACCCCTTCCTCTCTGCAAGTTAAACCTTTTACCGAACACATAATATAAAGAACTGCCTAAGAAATAAACCACATGTATGGCACACCTGATCTTTTCTGTAATGATTGGGCTAGCCCTCACGACATGGTAGCATAGCTCAAGAGACAAAGGTGAAAACCTTTAAGGCCTAGGAGTCCTCTTATCTAACAGGCTTATCCTGTACCTGACTAGATCATGCAGCTCAGTCCTCAAGATGGTGTCTGTTTCTTCAGATTTTAGGAAAGGAATACACAGCTGGATAAGAACTATATTAAATATATAGTATTCTATCCTTTTTAAAATATACTTAAAGCTGGACGCTGGTGGCTCACACCTGTCATCCTAGCCACTCAGGAGGCTGAGATGTGAGGATCATGGTTCGAAGCCAGCCTAGGCAGGAAAGTCCATGAGACTCTTACCTCTAGTAAAGTACTCAAAAAAAACTGGTAGTAATATTGGGGCTCCAGTGATAGAGCACTAGCCTTGAGCACAAACAGGCTCAGGTATAATGCCTAGGCCCTGAGTTCAAGGCCCAGGACCAGAAAAAAAAAAAAGTGTATGTGTATATACATATATATGCATTTATATATGTATATATATATGTGTGTGTGTATACATATATTTGCTTAAAAGCCTTTTGAAACAGACTTAAAATATTCTTTTTTTTTTTTTGTCGGTCGTGGGGCTTGAACTCTGGGCCTGGGCGCTGTCCCTCAGCTCTTCAGCTCAAGGCGAGTGCTCTACCACTTGAGCTACAGCGCCACTTCCACTTAAAATATTCTTTTAAAGTATTACTTTTGGTGGTCCATGAATATTTTAAGTGACTCATAGGGTATTTTACTTATAGATTTAGGTGAAATTTAAATTTCTAGATATAAGGCTCCAAAATATTCCTCTTAGTATTATAAACTTACTTCTTCCAAGTCCTCCAGTATCAGCACGAATTTCACTCACCCTTCTGGGAGTTAAAGGGGAAGCAACAGTACAAATTTCATCTGTTCTTTCCAGGTTCTGAGGTGGCATGACCTAAAAAAGGATTATTTGCACAAAATGGCAATGGTCAAAACCAGCAATGTTCACTATAATTAGCAGTACTCTAACATGAAAGAAAGCTATCTTGGTATATCAGTTATTCCACCATAATAAAACTATCTTCTCTGTCTTCACATTAAAGCTAAGAACATTCTGCAAGTCTAAAAATTCCAAACTTTGGGCCTAGGAAGGTGGCTCAGTTGTAGAGTGCAGGCCCTGGTTTCAATTCCTCAGCATCATGTAAGCAGAAAAAGCCAGAAATGGTGCTGTGGCTCAGTGGTAGAGAGTTAGCCTTGAGCTGAAGAGCTGAAGGACAGTGGCCAGATCCAGAGTTCAGGCCCCACAAGTGACCAAAAAAAAAAAAATCCAAACTTTGTAATAGGACACTGGTGATGAAACCTTCATTACCTATTTCTAGAGTGAAAATAGCACCATTCTAGGGAACAGAAGACTTGATCAATTTTAAAGGAACACTGAATTTCCACCCCTAGAGAGGAGATACCAAGTTTAATTGCTGTCTGGTAGAAGGAGACTATGAACAGAAGATACTGATTTACTTATCTTATAGAAAGATATTATAGTATTTACACAAACCTCTTCACATGTAGGAACTCTGTTTTCATTGTCTTTAATTCTTTGCCAGAGTGGAGACTCTGGTTTCCATGCTAAATGATCTAATATCTGTTCTTCAATCTGATTCAGGTGTTTTACCACTTCTCTACAAAGGCCATCTTCTGCCCTAATGAATACTTCTATTACCTGAAATAAAGAAAATGCCTTGGTTCACTTAATAATCATAATAATTATGATTTTTCACACAAAAAAATTTAATATAAAATAATTTTAGTATATAAAAGCAAAATAGGCACAGTACTTAAAAATCTCTTTAAAAGCCAGGTGCAGGTAGCTCACACCTGTAATCCTAGCTACTCAGGAGGCTGAGATCTGAGGAAGGCGGTTCAAAGCCAGCCCTGGCAGGAAAGTCCCTGAGAGGCCAATTAACTACCAAATAAACAGAAGTGGTGCTATGGTTCAAGTGGTAGAGCATTCTCCATGAGTTGAAGAGCTCAGGGACAGCACCCAGGCCCAGAGTTCGAGCCCCATGACTGACCAAAAAAAAAATAAAAATAAAAGTCTCTTTAAATTAGACAAATAATTTATCAAAATTACAAGTTTATTTTGAAAGTTTACTGTTATACAGCTGCCCTTTTTACCGTATTTGTGAATACTTAATTTACATATATAAAATATTTTTAATGTGATGCATTTCAAAATTTATTTTAAAATATGGAAGGGATAGTAGGGGGAAAACAATGGAGGGGGTAACAATGCTCAATAGGAAGTGTACTCATTACCTTACTCATGTAACTGTAACTCTCTGTATAGTATCTTTACAATAAAAATAAATAAATAAAAATAAAATAAAATAAAATATGCCTTGTTCATTGATTTTGAAAACATTACTCTTGAAGTTTTATATTAAAAGACTGGATATGTAGGTCAATGGTAGAGTATGTGCTTATTAATCTCCAATACCTGAAAAAAACTTCTGTTAAAAAGCTCTAGAGGACTGAGAATATAACTCAGTGGTCAAGCATTTACCTAGCATACACATGGGTTTCATCCTCAGCATTTACCTAGCATACACATGGGTTTCATCCTCAGCACCACACACACAGTCAAAAAAACACAGCCGGTGACACTATAAAATTTTGATCACACGTTACATTAGTATCAAAAAAGGAAACAAGCCGGGTGACGTGGCTCATGCCTGTAATCCTAGCTACTCAGTAGACTGAGATCTGAGGATCACAGTTCAAAGCCAGCCTGGGTAGGAAAGTCTGTGAGACTCTTATCTCCAGTAAACCACTAGAAAACTGGAAGTGGTGCCATGGCTCAGGCAGCAGCGCGCTCGCCTTGAACTGAAGAGCTGAGCGATAGCACCCAGGCCCAGAGTTCAAGCCCCACGACTGACCAAAAAAAAAAAAGGAAACAAACCATGCCACAACTGACTTTCTGTAACAGGCACCTGTGAGTTTGAGGCAGTAGGATCACAAGTTTGAGACTAGTCTGGATCATAAAAACTAAAGAATGATAGAGAATTGTTTTGTTTTTCCCTGAAAGTTAAATGGTCTTTCATTTAAAAAAAAAAAAGGACTTTCAACAGGAAGCTGCTGTACAAGATTAGCTTCTGGCTTTCAGGCTCTTTAAATCCTCTTTGGCTCCTAAGACAAAAATATTCCAAAATCTTTCATGAGGTAGTAATCAAATGAAGGTTTTATCCAAGAGAGATCTTTTATACTACTGTGTGTTACACAAATTTATATAGCTCTTAAGAATGTCCAGTTTCTTTTCTGCTGGATTATTGAATATGTAATTTAAAATAGTTTAAAATACTTACATGCTAATAAAAATTACATGACAACAAGAAGTTGGTCTCATCAACACGCAGTATATTTTGGAAAAATACCTTATAAAAATGATAAAGCGGAACATCAAATATTTCAGCAATGAGTGGAAAATTCCCAGGAGGCTTGTAAGAAAAAGTGATGACTTCAAGGCAGCAGGCCAAGAGTGATCTATGGAATGCATCCTGTTCCAGAATACCCTATAAAACAAAGGTAACAGCATTTACAAACATTAGTCTACTCTAAAAAGGTCCCTTTAATCAAACACCAAAAGAAGTTTTGTTTTCTGAGAGGATGTGTTTACTTTGCTACAAAACCCTTAACTTTCACAAATAAATTCATCTTTTCATTAAAAAAAATAAAGGAATATATAAGCATTTTCAAAAAAAAACTCTTGTATGTTCCAAAATAAACAGAATAAACATAATTACATCCCTAACCAAAACACACACACACACACACACACACACACGCACACGCACACGCTTAGAATAATGACATAGCAAGATGTCACAACATAATAACATTATATAATAATAGGCCACTATCATAGAAGAGAGCTGGAATGCAAGACAGTGGTAACTGGTAGATTTCCAGTGGTAACTGGTAGATAATCACCTATCAAAAGTCCATAGGTAGGGCTGGGAAGGTGGCTCAGTGGTAAAGCACTTGCCTTGCATGAGGCCCTGGGTTCAATTCCTCAGCACCAGATAAGCAGGAAAAAAAAGCCAGAAGTGGTGCTGTGGCTCAAGTGGTAGAATGCTAACCTTGAGCTGAAGAGCTGAGGATCAGCGCCCAGGCCCAGAGTTCCGGCCCCACGACTGGACCCCCCCCCCCCCCCCGCAAAAAAAAAAAAAGTCAACAGGTAGCCGAATGCTGTTGGCTCATACCTGTAATAATAGCTACTCAGGAGACTGAGATCTGAGGATCTAGATTCAGAGCCAACTCAGGTAAGAAAGCCCTTGAGGTTCTTATCTCAAATTAACCACCAGAAAACCTGAAATGGAGCTTTGGCTCAGTGGCAGAGAAAAGAGCTAAGGGACAGAACCCTAGGCCCTGGGTTGAAGCCCCATGACTAATCCCCCCCTCCAAAAAAAGTTAACAGATTTAATGTAGAAGACAAAGGAGACAGAAACACTAACAAGGGTTGTCAGGAGTGAAAAGGGATTTGTGTTAAGTGGGTGTACACTGTTCGTAAAGTTGAAAAATTCTATAGATGGATAGTGGTAATATATACTTAACACTGTTAGTAAGCTTAATGCCAGTGAGTTATAAACTTAAAGATGACTGCCAGGCACTGGTTGCTTTTGCCTATAATCCTATCTACTCAGGCAGCTGAGATCTAAGGATCTCGCTATGAAGCCATCCTGAACAGCAAAGTCTATGAGCTTTTTTGGGGGGGTCTGGTCGTGGGGTCTGAACTCTGGGCCTGGGCGCTGTCCCTCAGCTCTTCGGCTCAAGGCTAGCACTCTACCACTTGAGCCACAGCGCCACTTCCAGCTTTTTTTTTCTGCTTATGTGGTGCTGAGGAATCGAACCCAGGGCCTCATGCGTGCAAGGCAAGCGCTCTACCACTGAGCCACCTTCCCAGCCCCTATGAGTTCTTATCTCCAGTTAACCATCAAAAAAAGTCAGAAGTGGAGCTGTGACTCAAATGGCAAAGTGCTAGCCTTGAGAAAAAATGCTCAGGTACAGTACTCAAGCCCTGAAGTCAAGCCCCAGATCCAGCACATAAATAAAAAAACAAAAAACTTTAAAAGATTAAAATACTACTTACTTTATTAAGTATATTTTAGCATGGTAAAAAAAAGATTTTTAGGTATGCACTTATGAGTATTCACAATACTCCAGCCTAAATCATACTTACAGTTTATATACTTTCAGTATGTGTTTCATACACAAAAAATTAAGTCAGGGCTGGGAATGTGGCTTAGTGGTAGAGTGCTTGTCTAGCATGTATGAAGCTCTGGGTTTGATTCCTCAGTACCACATAAACAGAAAAAGCCAGAAGTAGTACTGTGGCTCAAGTGGTAGAGCACTAGCCTTGAGCACATGGAGGCTCAAGGACAGTGCCCAGGCCCTGAGTTCAAGCTCCAGGACTGGCAAAAAAAAAAAAAAAAAAAAAAAAAAAATTAAGTCATACAACAGTCCTTTGTACAACCAGATATATATGTGTATACATACTACATATATACATATATACAAGCAATGTAAGCAGGTGTAATGGTACAGTCAAGAGGCTGAGGCTGGAGGATCTCAAGTTCAGAACTAGCTTGAGCTATTACAGCAAGACTTTGTCCCAATTTTTGTAAAAAACTGAGATACATATTTACTTGTACAGTGCTTACCTATGAAGTGTGAGGCCTTGAGTTCAATCACGAACAGTAGGAAAAGAAGTGAAAATATCCACAAGGAATTAGAATAGTTTTATAATTTTTAGGTTTGAATTCAGGGCCTCATGGTTTCTCCCATAAAATATGTTCACTATAACATATGACTTGCTACAGTGATAAAGACTAACTTCTTCTGTTGATGAAGATGAAGATGAGAGGGCTTGGTGCACAAGTTTCCTTAGGTGCTAATCTTACTCCCTAAAGCCATACATCACGTCACTAGACTTTGGGAGTCTAGTGACTAGCTTACTTTGGGAGTTTCAGGGAAGACTGAAAATGTTTCACTCTGATGATTTATACTCACAGATAAATCCATGTCTCCTAATCTTTTCTGCTCTTGCTCAATAACAGATTCCAATACTTTATAGTAAAGCATTTCTGCAAAACGAAAATGTTTGCTGGCAATTTCTGTACAAATACATAAAAACACAAAAGTCAAATACAAGGAAAATAAGTATTGCAGAAAATGAAGATCCCTTCCTATCTATAAAATAAAATTTCTACAATTGTTGATTCAATTATCCTTAAGATTCCTTAATGTTCTTCATGGTAATATTCACATTTTTCTAAATCTGAGATAAAAGTTGCATGCAAAGAACTTATCATTCCATTAAGATCCATTCCTTTTAATAGGTGCTGGTGGCTCATGCCTATAATCCTAGCTATTCAGGAGACTGATAACTTCAGACAGAAAATTCTGTGGCAGTCTTAACTCCAAATCATGACCATAAATGCTAGAAGAAAGCTGTGGCTCCAGTGGTAGTGCTCTAACCTTGAGCAAAAGAAATTCAGAGTCAGCACTCGGGCTCTGAGTTGCCCAGGACCAATTCATTCCTTTTATTTTCTGTATTTATGAGTAAAATAAAGCTGTTGTAGTTTTGGTGATGACTACCTACAAAGGCCAATTTGTTAAAGTATTGGTTCCATGTTGGCACAAATGGGAGGTGGGAGATGCTTAAGCCTTTGGAGGGAGCCTGCTGGGAGACTGCTGTCTCCCTCCCACTGCCATCACTCACTGCCCTAACCACGGGCTCAAAGAAACAAAGCTACTTGATCACCTATTTTCAGGTATTATCTCAGGCATTTTGTTATAGGAACAGGAAGTGGACTAATTATATATATGGTAAAAGGTTTGTAATTAGTTTACTATTCTACATATACTTGGTTCAAACAATTCCCAGGCTAGCATCTGTGAAGTGGAGAATCAACATCCAAAATACTTGAGACTTCTTGAAACTCTGAATACCAGTGTAACGCTGCAAGTTGAATATTCTACACCTGAGCTCATGTGATAGACTAAAAAACTTGTTAGTCTATGTGTATAAGGTATATATGAAACACAATGAATTCTGTATTTAAAACTGGATTCTATTGCCAAGATGTTTCTTTTTACATATTCAGTATTACAACCTCCCCAGCAATCTGTAAGTCTTCTGTACTATTCTTTCTTTACTGTAGAATCAAAATTCTTACATTAGCTTCCACTTGACAAATGATAACTAAAGAATTTATATATTGGGCTGGGAAGGTGGCTCAGTGGTAGAGCGCTTGCCTTGCATGCATGAGGCCCTGGGTTCGATTCCTCAGCACCACATAAGCAAAAAGAAAAAAGCCAGAAGTGGCGCTGTGGCTCAAGTGGTAGAGTGCTAGCCTTGAGCTGAAGAGCTGAGGGTGCCCAGGCCCAGAGTTCAGGCCCCACGACCAGACCTCCCCACCCCCAAAAAAAAAAGAAAAAAGAATTTATAAATTAAGAAAGTACCAAAAGACCAATATAATGAAAGTAATAGCTTAAAATTCCTCTGTGAAATCAGAAACCACTGGCATGACAGAATGTACAGAGAGTCACATTCTAGCCTTCAGCCTAAAATCCTGAGTCTTCCTTATGTTTCTGACTCAAGTTTCTGAAAAAGGAATCCATGTAGTTAAATGTTAACATGATGAGTTACATACACAATATTAAACCTTACCTTTAGCACAATTACTAAAATCCTCATCTAGCTGGTAATGCTGAGAATATATTTCATACATTTCTTTCAATCTGTTAGCAATAGCCTGGGTTGGATCCCTGGAACATGTCCTAAAAAGTAATAAGATCTAATGTAAATGTCTTGCCAAATCACAAGGGATATAATGGTTAATTTTAATTTCATGAACATGTAAATACAAAATAATGTGAATAGACACTGTATACTTCCTCAAATTAATTCAGAAAATCCCATACCTCTTTCCAAAGGTGGTGGTGGTGGTAGTGGTACTGTTTTGAGTGAAAAAGGTATTTCTTGCATGGGGCTGTATGTGTTTCTACAGTAAGTTTAACAACCTTAGTCCTGGGCCCATTGGAATGTGGTAACTGGCCCCACATGACTTATAACACACATCCAATCATTGATGACAACCAAAATTTCCCTCAATGGACTGCCTAGAACACAATTCCCAATTGAGAAATCTGAAAGAGCCAGGCAAAAATGGTGCATGCTTGTAATCCTAGCTTCTTAGGAGGCAGAGATGGAGAAGATGGTTTGAGGTTAGCCCAGGAAAAAAGTTTGTGACATTCCATCTCACAACTGGATACAATGTTGTGTGTTTGTCATCCCAGCTATGTGTAAAATATAAATAGGACTGTGGTTCAAGCTGTCTTGGGAATTGAAAACTTTATTTGAAAAGTAATAGAAACAAAAAGAGTTGAGATATGACTCATGTAATCAAATACCTACCCATCTATATTGTAAAGCCTTGATTTCAAATACTTGTTAAAATAAAAAACAACAAAATAAATAAAAAACAAAAGCCCAACCTTCCTAGAACAGAACAAATCATTAGAAACCATTACTAGGATGAGAGAGAGGAGAAAGAGAAGAAAAAAGGGGGGAGGGGGGAAAGGGAGGAAGGTACACGTATGCTGGTCTTGAACTCAGGGCCTGGGCACTGTACCTGAGCCTTTTTGTTCAAGGGTAGTGCTCTACCACTTGAGCTTCAGCTCCCTTTCCAGCATTTTTTGGAGCTTATTTGGAAATAAGAGTCTCACAGACTTTTCCTATGATCCCTAGCTCTCGGCCTCCTGAGTAGCTAGGATTACTGGAGTAAGCCACTGGTGGCTGGCCATTAGAATTTCTTTTGTTTCCACTAGAGTTTAATAATTGATTACTTATAGGAAAGCAATATGAGTTCAATGTGGAAGCAACAAAAACAATTACCATGTGAGCTTTTGTAGCAACTATGTTTTACTTATAGGAAAGCAATATGAGTTCAATGTGGAAGCAACAAAAACAATTACCATGTGAGCTTTTGTAGCAACTATGTTTTAATTTTGATCATAAATGAATAGGTTCACTGTAAAACTGCAGCAAGTTTAGAATATTATATATAACACATATAACCCAGAATTCTACTTATGAACACATGCATGCACCTTTTACCTAACATCTACTGGTAATATTTAATGTCATTAATGCTGCTTAAGATTAAAACTATTTTTTTGTTTTTGGTCGTGTGGCCTAAACTCTGGGCCTAGGCACTGACCCTCAGCTCTTCAGCTCAAGGCTAGTGCTCTACCACTTGAGCCACAGTGCCATTTCCAGCTTTTTCTGCTTATGTGGTGCTGAGGAATCAAACCCAGGGCCTCATGCATGCAAGGCAAGCACTCTACCACTGAGCCATCTTCCCAGCTCTGAAGATTAAAACTATTCTGACTAGCTAGGGATTGTAAAGATCTTGAAACACAAAGAATTCAAAATAGGCTCATAAATAAAACATATGCATAAATGGGGCAGCTGTGGGCATTGAACAATTGATAGAACACATGCCTAGCCAATACAAGTTCAGTCTCCAGAACTGTGAACGGAAGGAAGAGAGGGAAGGAAGAGTGGGAGGGAAGAAGAAAGAAAGGGAGGAAAAGAAGAGCAGGAGAGAGGAAGTAAAAAGAAATGTGTGTGTAAAACACTCTACCATCCAAGTTCATTGGCTTATGCTAGTAAACCTAGAAACTTGAGGTCTCAGTTTTGAGGCCCCTTCTTTTTTTTTTTTTTTTAATTTAATTTAATTTTATTTGTGAACATACTGTACAGAGGAGTTACAGTTACATGGGCAGGATAATGTGTACATTTCTTACCAAGCATTGCAGCCTCCTCCTTTGTTTATCCTTCACATCCCTTCCCAGCCTCCCCCCTCCCCCCCTAATCCCAATCCTTCTCCTTCCTCCCCCCCCAGACCCCCCCCACCAACGTTGTAAAGTTCGTTTTGGACATGACAACTTGTACTTCTCATTGTTGCAACAGGTCCACCTGTATTGAGGCCCCTTCTTAACAGAAAAATCGTGTTATAGCATAAGCTTATAACCCCGGCTACATCAGGTAGCATAAATAGGAATATTATGGCAAAAAAGACTCTTTAGGTAGAGCAAGAAGGGCTGGAGGAGTGGCTCCAGTGATATAATGCCTGCCTAGTAATTACAAAGAACTGAGTTAAAACTCTAATATTGAGGGGGAAAAAAATGTGATTTTACCAGCTACTTAAGAGACTAAGGCATGAAAATCAAGTTCAAAGACAGCCTGGGCTACACAGTAAAGTTGCAGGTCAACCTAAGCAACATAGTAAAAATGCCATCTCAAAAAAACATGTTTCTTTAAAGGTTTCTCAGTAACACTGGACTGTTTTTGATTTTTTTTAAACCCAATTGGATACTACTTGGGTACTATAGCCTCAACAGGCTGATACATAATGGTAAATGAACAATAAATGAACATTTCAAGGCTGATGGAGCTCAAACCAACCTGAGAATCTGTTCTAGCTTCTCACTTGGTGCATTCCTGAGGCCTGTCAGCATGGTATGAAGACGGCTCAAGCTGTGTGCAGCTGTGGTAATGGGGGTCATACAAGGGCTGTTCTCCTTATTGTACTTCATACCACTAAGCGGTGTGGAGATTTTAAGTGCTTTTGACTAGAGGGGAAAAATGAAGAAGAATTAAAACAAATATCTGGGTCTGAAAGATTTTTCTTCCCAAAAAGAATTCAAATAAATCCAACTTTTATCAATAAATTTTAGCAATTCACTTACCACTATTACTTGATAAGTACCACCAGTATTCACATAAATATGTTTGAAATGTCAAAATATGTTTTAGTCAATCAAAAATTCTATCTTAAGTTATATCTCCAGCTAAAGGTATAATTCAGAGTTAGAGCACTTGACTACTATGTACAAGGTTATATGTATGATCCCCAATACCACACACACACACACACACACACACACAAAAACCAGAATAGATCCTGCTGTCCTTCCTCATAATTAAACTGTGGCAAAGATGAGCATTATACTTGAACAATTAAGAATATCATAACCATCTACCACTATTTGTAAACATCCAAAGCCTGACAAACTATCAAAATAAAATCCGTGATTTAATAAAAGTCCATCTGAGAGTATCAAATTTGCCTCAGAAAAACTAAACATCCCCCCAAACAGGCAATTTGATACAAAACAGTCTTCACTGGTCTTTTTGCCTCTCTACCGTTAGTTAATAGAATCTACCATAGCATTTTTACCCCTAAAGTTAGCCAGTCAAAATTTTGGAATATAAGTATGAAAAAGGAAAAAGATATGACTTCCTGACAAAGAATTTAAGCAGAAGTACATACACTAATAAAACATCTTTTCTGGCTTAGTGGTAGAGTGCTTGCCAAGCATGCCTGAAGCCCTGGGTTCAATTCCTCAGTTCTACATAAACAGAAAAAGCTGGAAGTGGTACTGTGGCTCAAGTGGTACAGCACTAGCCTTAAACACACAGAGGCCCAGAGACAGAGCCTAGGCCCTAAGTTCAAGCCCTATGACTGACAAAATAAATAAATAAAATAAAAATAAAACTCTTTTCTAATTTTTAAAGGTTGTGATAGCTTAACAAGATCTCTGAATATTAAAGATAAGTCACATTTTCCAAGTATGTATGTATTTATTTTAGAGTTTTAAAACCATCTTGCAAAGTTTTAGCTGGCAACAAAAAAGCTATTCAGTTCTCATAAAATATAGAAATACAGCAATACACTGCCATGCTTTCCATATTGAATCTATACGCTTTGTTATTATTTTTTTTATTGTAAAGATACTATACAGAGGGTTACAGTTACATGAGTAAGGTAATGAGTACACTTCCTGTTGAGCACTGTTACCCCCTCCATTGTTGAATCTATATGCTTTTTATGTCTTAAAGAATAGCAGAGTTGGGGCTGGGAAGGTGGCTCAGTGGTAGAGCGATTGCCTTGCATGCTCAAGGCCCTGGATTCGATTCCTCAGCACCACATAAGAAAAAAGAAAAAAGCCGGAAGTGGCACTGTAGCTCAAGCGGTAGAGCGCTAGCCTTGAGCTGAAGAGCTGAGGGACAGCGCCCAGGCCCAGAGTTCAGGCCCCACGACCGGACCCAAAAAAAAACAAAAACAAAAAACAAAGAATAGCAGAGTTAAGGCCTTCAATTTGTTTAGGGAAATTTATCCTATCATTTTTCCAAGTCAATAATATAGTGTAGATGGCTGCTCCCTATCTCAAATTTCCTGGGCCCACTTTTTCACTGTACATGAACCAGTGCCTGCTTACTCTGGCAGAGAAACAATGAATGCCTGAAGAAGCAGCCACCAGTAGCACATAGCACATAGCACATCATCCAGGAATCTAGGTGTGATAACTACAAGCAGCTTCCTGCCCAGAGTCCTTGAAGTGACTTTGGGGCTTCTTGGTATCACTAATAAAAGTTTAGCTTTATTGTTGATCAGTAGAAAAATGGGGGTGGACAAATAGACTCTGTAGTTATGTGGGGACTAGTAAAAGGAGGCTGGGCAGGTGGGAGGATAAAGGAGGTAAAATATGTTAAAATAGATTATTGGCAACTATGAAATTGAAACAAGGAAACCTACTGGGGATGTTTGGGAGGAGGAGAGCAGGGAGTATGATAGAGGAGGTAAGATTGGTTGGGATAGGTATAAAAAGTGTAGAAAAGTAACAATGATATTTTATTTTTGGTGTGTGTGGGGGGGGTCTGTCCTGGGGCTTAAACTGTGGTCCGGGCACTGTCCCTCAGCTCTTCAGCTCAAGGCTAGAGCTCTATCACTGGAGCCACAGCGCCACTTCTGGTTTTCTGAGCAGTTTATTGGAGATAAGAGTCTCACAGACTTTCCAGCCCAGGATGGCTTTGAACCGTGTCCTCAGATCTCAGCCTCCTGAGTAGCTAGGATTACAGGCGTGAGCCACCAGCACCTGGCTAACAATGAATTTTTTTTAAAAAATAGAAAGTTTAGTTTTAGCAGGATCCTGGTGGTTCATGCCTATAATCCTAGCTACTCAAGAAGCTGAAATCTGAGAATTGCAGTTCCAAACCACCCTAGCAGGAAAGTCCATGAGACTCTAATCTCCAATTAACCACCGGAAGTGGAGCTTTTAGTTCAAAGTGGTACAGCACTAGCCTTGAGCAAAAGAGCTCAGGGACAATGCCCAGGCCCTGGGTTCAAGCTCCATGACTGACCAAAAAAAAAAAAAAGTATAGCTTTAAGGATCACGTAGAGGATTCTTTAACTCAGATATATAACACAGAGTTTTAAAAAATACTACAATGAGCTGGATGCTGGTGGTTCATGCCTGTAATCCTAGCTACTTAGGAGGCTGAGATCTAAGGATCACAGTTCAAAGCCAGCCCGGGCAGGAAAGTCTGTGAGACTCTTATTTCCAATAAACTACTAGAAAATCAGAAGTGGCACTGTGGCTTAAGCAGAAGAGCACTTGCCTTGAGCTCAAAAGTGCAGAGTAGCATCCAAGTCAGAGTTCAAGCCCCACAACTGACAAAAATAAGAAAATTAAAATAAATAAGTAAATACTAAGATGCAACATTTGGACTGCTCCAGAGCTTTGTCCTAAGACCCCTTTTATTCTTTCATCAACTCATAATGGGAGGTAATCGCTCTTCATTCTATGACGTATGGGCCATCACATTTTGATAACTTCAGAACTTAAGCACACTTCAACCATTCTTGTCCACTCAGGTGATGAATTTCTAAACTGCCTACTACTAGGGTCACCTAAAAGATCTCAAATTTGATATACTAATAACCCTAACTTTTAAGCTACACCCCTTAACTTCTTCCTTCTCAGTAAATATGAACAGTAAAATGTTTTTAGAATACCTATTACATGGAGAACACCACATAAAATGTTGGTCACAGGGGGCAAGGAAGGTGGCTCAGTGGTAGAACGCTTGCCTTGCAAGCCCTGGGTTTGATTCCTCAGCACCACATAAGCAAAAAGAAAAAAGCCGGAAGTGGCGCTGTGGCTCAAGTGGTAGAGCGCTAGCCTTGAGCTGAAGAGCTGAGGGACAGCGCCCAGGCCCAGAGTTCAGGCCCCACGACCGGACCCAAAAAAAAATTAAAAAAAAAAAAATGTTGGTCACAGGCCTTTTGTAGCTTTATTCTGAGTCTACTTCCCTCCCTACTACTGGGAGACATGATACAGGCACTAACAGCAGAGAAGGGAAAGAAGTTATTGGAAACAGAGATGAAAAAGAAAGCCATAGGAGTATCTTTCTTTTAGGCAGAGAAAAGAGCCAGGTCAAAGGCTTTGTTTTGGCGTAGCAATCTAAGAATGAAAAGGGAAGTTAATGTGGCATGAGTAGAATCATGAGGAAAGCAGCAGATGGATGGAGAGGTAACAAGGACACTTAGGACCTTACAGCATTTTTAAGGACTTGGGTTTACATCATTTACCCAGTAGTCATCACTACTTTTCCCTCTAGTACACCCTAACCCAAAATACTGTGGGTACTAGCTCCAAAATGTGACCCAAATATAACCTTTCTCTAAATAAAGCCACCATGAATTACTAGAGTCATTCCAATAACCTCCTTATCCTGGTCCTACTTTCCTACATGACCTACATGACCTGCTGGACATCTGGTCACAGAGGAGTGTTATCACTTTTCTCAGAATCACCCACTTAAAAGCTTGCATCTCAGTTGGGGATTGTTGGCTCACCCCTGTAATCATAGCTAATCAGGTGGCTGATATCTGAGAATCGTGGTTCCAAGCTAGCCTGGGCAGAAAAGTCTGTGAGACTCTTACTTCCAATGAAAAGCCCTAAATGGAGAGTGCTAGTGTTTGTTCAAGCCCCAGGGCCAAGTAAAAGAAAAACTTTTTACAATGGTACAATGGTTCCCAAAAGCCTTTAAAACCTGCCTATCCCATTCCCCTCTCCTTTCTCTTCCCTCACTCACTTTATTCCTACTATAGTAGCTTTCTCCCATGATTCTAAACTGCCAATTTTGTTCCCACCTTATACCTTTCCCCAGCTATGCCCAAAGTTTGCTTCCCTACATACCTCAGGTCTCTGCTAATACTGCCCCCTCAGAGTCACCTTTCCCAACCATTTTGCCTACCTGTCCTTGACACTTGGTATTTAACTTCATATACAATACCCAACATACTTTTTTTTTTAACTTTTTTGTAATCTATTGATAATTTCCCAACATTAAAAATATAAGCTTTAGAACAGGAAGTTTGTAGCTGTTTTGGCCACTGCTGTTTTCGGTTTTGTTCAGGACATGGGGTGGTGTATAAGATCCTTTTAGACTATTATTTAAACAAGCAGACCAGTCTCACATCTGAAAAAACCTGAGAAGAGAAATTCAATCACCATCATCCTAGGATAATCCCAAAACTCTATTTAATAGAATTTTCTTACAGTCTACAGATTTTCAGTTTCTCCAGTACCTTAAATGAAGGTCCAAATTCAGATTAATTTATATTTTCTAATACTATGTTCATGATGCATAAGGTTGTATACTATGGGTGCAAAAATTATCAACAGGAAACATTCACTTCAATTTATAGTAAATCTTTTCAGAGCTAACTAAAACCTTACAGAGTTGACAGTAACAAAAAAGTAAATCAATAGATAACTTTTCAGTTGAGGAGTTAGATGGGCATTTTCTTTGTACATTGCAAACAAAGCACATACACAAGGCTATGTGAGCAGAACAGAGTGGAGTGAAGAAGAAAGGAGCCCAGCTTCTGGCTCACCTTGTCAAAGTGCTGCTGCAAGATGTTTTTCACCTGTGCTCTCTCAGCACTCTCTGCTCCTGACCCCATGTTCAGACACCGGGACAGAGTCCCAATTTCCTCCTCAGCATCCTCTCCAAGAAATATCCGTTCATCTAAATTCCCAGCAGATAGAACATACTCCTCATAAGCCTTACTGATGGCTTTACTACAGGGGGGGAAAAAAACAGACAAATGTACTTTCTCATAAGTGACATCTCCATTAATGTCTCAAACCACCTAATTATTTCATCTGTTTATTTACTACTAAAAGTTTTTTGGTTTTTTTTTGTGTGACTAGCCTGAAGTTTGAACTCAGGGCCTCACAAGTTGCTAAGCAGGCATTCTACTGCTGCTTCAATCATGCCCCCACCACACACAGATTTTACTGATTGAGAGGAAAATCTTTCAAACTTTTTGCTCAGGCTAGCTTTGAACCATAATCCTCCTATAATCTCCAACTCCTGAGTTGGAAGGAATCAGGAATCAGCTACTGCCTCTAATAATTTCTGGAAAGTTAAATTTCAGTAAACTGAAGACAGTAGCAGGGAAAATTGCTACACTCAGTGTATCTAGCACACAGTGAGTGCATTTCACTAACAGTGGGTAGGGACATTAGGCCAATCTGCCTGATATGTGCAGCTTCTGGTGAGAAGCTTGGTCCTTTCTCTCCTGGCTGTTCTAGGTACATTCAACACTTTTTGTACATTCAACTCTTTTCCCCTACATAGTTCCAAAAGTTCTTTTCTGTTTTTTTTCCTTTTTGTGCCAGTCCTGGGACTTGAACTCAGGGCCTGGGTGCTGTCCCTGAGCTTTTGTGCTCAAGGCGAGGCCACAGCTCCACTTCTGGCTTTTTTTGGTGGTTTAATTGGAGAAAAGATTCTCACACACTACCCTGCCCAGGCTGGCTTAGAACTGCAACCCTCAGACTTCATCCTCCTGAATAGTGAGGATTAAGCTACCAGTGTCCAGCTGGATTTTTGCCCTTGTTTTGCTTTTTCAAAAAAAAAAAAAAAAAAAAAAGCTCTAAGTAGAGCAGGCTGGTCTCAAACTCATGATTTTCCTGTTAAGCTCAATCTTTCTCTAAGTGTGGGGATTATGGGCATATACCACTGTGCCTGACTCCAAAAAGTACTTTACTTCAAAATCTGTACTCTGAAAGTATGACTAAAGAAGCTTTAAACTGGAAAAATAATTTTCAGTATATTTATAGTATATTAAACACTTAGGTTGACAGCATTTTTAAGGCTTCCACGTACTCTCCCATAAAACACTCCAACTATTCAGAGTACAAACAATAAAAATGGTGAGCTCTGAGATTCCCCAAGTATACATTTTAAAAATAGTCAAACAGAAGTACTCACAAACTCTCTCCAAAGTTCCCAGGTTCCAGAAAACCAGTAAGATTTTCTTCTTTACCCTTGAGAAGCTATGATTAAAAAGAGATACTTAAATTAGATGGGCACTGGTGGCTAATGCCTGTAATCCTAGCTATTCAGGAGGCTGAGATCTGAGGATTCATAGTTCAAAGCCAACGTAGGCAGGAAAGTCCATTCCACTCTTATCGCTAATATACTACTCAAAAAAAGCCCTAAGTGGAGATGTGACTCAGTGGTAGAATTCTAGCCTTGGGCACATAGAAGCTTAGGGACAGCACCCAGGCCCTGAATTCAAGGACTGGCAAGGAAGGAAGGAATGAAGGAAGGAAGGAAGGAAGGAAGGAAGGAAGGAAGGAAGGAAGGAAGGAAGGAAGGAGCGAGCCAGGCGCTGGTGGCTCACGTCTGTAATCCTAGCTACTCAGGAGGCTGAGATCTGAGGATCGAGGTTCAAAGCCAGCCTGGGCAGGAAAGACTGTGAGACTCCTATCTCCAATAAACCACCAGAAAACCAGAAGTGGCGCTGTGGCTCAAGTGGTAGAGCATTTGCCTTGAGCTGAAGCCCAGGTCCAGAGTTCAAGCCCCAGGACCGACAAAAAAAAAGAGAGAGGAGGGGAAGGGAGGGGAGGGGAGGGGAGGGGAGGGGAGGGGAGGGAAGGGAAGGGAAGGGAAGGGAAGGGAAGGGAAGGGAAGGGAAGGAGGAAAGGGGAGGGAGGAAAGGGGAGGGAGGGAGGGAAGGGGAGTGAGAAAAGAAAGAAAGAAAGAAAGAGAGAAAGAAAGAAAGATGGAGAGGGAAAGAGAAAAAGAAAGAAGGGAGGGAGGAAGAAAGGGAGGAAGGCAGGCAGGCAGAGAAAGAAAGAAAGAGAGAAAAAGAGAAAGAAAAAGAGGAAATTATCACAGGAAATCAAGTCTTTCCAAAGCCACACCATGTTGTCACTTGCAGACCTTTTTTTCATAAAGTTTCCTAATATATGGTTTCCAGAAATGCTCCTTTATTCCTTTTGCTTCCAAAACAAGGCCATCATGTAAGGAACAGAGTTTCTCGATGACACAAGGTGGGTCAGAGGAAGGTTTAGAATCCTTAGCATGAAAATCTTCACATAGGCCTATGATGCACAGAAACACAGAACATATATATCAGCCTTCAATAAGCACAGTGTAATAAACTAAATTACAAATCGAGTATATTCTAGATGAATGGTTATATGAATTTATGAGAAATGGTGTTTATAAGCCTAATTTTTAACTCTATTAAAATATGCCTCAAAGAAATAGAGATTAATACACCACAGCACAACAGTTTCAATTATTCCCAGCACTTAGGAAGTAAAAGCAGGAGAATCATGAATTTGAGATCAGTCTGGACTACAAACTAAGTTTTAGTTATATATCTCATATAGTTAGACCCTGTCTCAAAACATTAAAAATTCAGTTATTCAGTCATCTATCTGGAGATGGTTAAAAGAGGAAACTAAATTCTAAGTTTCTAAAAAAAAACTAAAACCTTTAACTTTATAAGGCTTATATTCAAACAAAAACACTTTTTTTAAAGTATAGTATATAAACCAGGTGCCAGTGGCTCATATTTGTAATCCTAGATACTTGGGAGACTGAAATTGGGAGGATCACAGTTCAAAGGCAGCCCAGGAAGAAAAAAGTTCACAGCATCCCTTCTCAATGAAAAACTATGTGTGGTGGGAGGGAGGGAGGGAGGGAGGGAGGGAGGGAAGGAGAAAGAAAGAAACAAAGAAAGAAAGAAAGAAAGAAGGAAGGAAGGAAGGAAGGAAGGAAGGAAGGAAGGAAGGAAGGAAGGAAGGAAGGAAGGAAGGAAGGAAGGAAGGAAGGGAAGGGAAGGAAGGAAGGAAGGAAGGAAGGAAGGAAAGGAAGGAAGGAAGGAAGGAAGGAAGGAAGAAAAGAGAAAGGGAGGGAGGGAGGGAGGGAGGGAGGGAGGGAGGGAAAGAAAGAGAAGGAAGGAAGGAAGGAAGGAGAGAGAAAGAAAGAAAGAAAAGAGAAAGAAAGAAAGAGAAAGGAAGGAAGGAAGGAAAGAAAGAAAGAAAGGAAAGAGAGAAAGAGGGAGGGAGGGAAAGAAAGAAAGAGAGAAGAAGGAAGGAAGGAAGGAAGGAAGGAAGGAAGGAAGGAAGGAAGGAAGGAAGGAAGGAAGGAAGGAAGGAAGGAAGGAAGGAAGCACGCAAGCAAGCACGCAAGCACGCAAGCTGCCAGGAAGCCTATGATGAATTGTGCACATCAGGTGCATGCACCTGAGCATGAAGTGAGACTCTTGTCTCAAAAATAATGGGCAACAGTCAGGGTTGGCGGCATGGTGCAGTGGTAAGAGTGCCTGCCAAGTTTAAGGATCCAAGTTCATACCCCAGTACCACCCCCCACACACACATACTATATACAAATTACATACTTAGATTTACAATATTAAATATACTTAGTCTATTTATAGTATGTATTTGCCATAATGTTGGAATAGAAGGGGGTAAAAGTCTGAGAAAAATAAAAGGGCTTGGTACAGTAACTCATATCTACAATCCTAGTTACTTGGGAAGGTCACAGCTCAAGGCCAGCCTGGGCAAAAAATTAGCTAGATCTTGTCTTGAACTACTGTCCTGGGAGGCTTTATTGGAGTACGTAGATAGAAAAATGACAGTACAAGATGGCCAAAAATCAAGAGATCCTATTTGAAAAGTAAAGCAAGGAAGGGCTAGACATAGCTCGAGTAGTGGAGTGCATGCTTAGATAAAAGAGGTCCTGAGTTCAAAAGTTCCAGTACTAAACAGAAAAAACAAAAGAAAGAATCATATGGAAATATGAGCAGGGCGCTGGTGGCTCACGCCTGTAATCCTAGCTACTCAGGAGGCTGAGATCTGAGGATCACAGTTCAAAGCCAGCCCGGGCAAGAAAGTCTGTGAAACTGTTATCTCCAGTAAACCACCAGAAAACCGGAAGTGGCGCTGTAGCTCAAGTGGTAGAGTGCTCATCTTGAGCTGAAGAGCTGAGGGAAAGCGCTCAGGCCCAGAACTCAAGCCCCACTACCAAAAAAAAAAAGAAATATGAAAAAGGGGATGTGAAAAAAAAAAAAAAAAGGGGATGTGTACCACAAATAAGCAATACTGAGTTCAGTCTCCAGTGCACATATGAGTACACATGCACACACACATGCATGCATGTGTACACACATGCACAGGAAATAAAATTGATATAAAAGGGAGTTAAGAAATAAGGAGCTGGTAATCCTAGCTACTCAGGAGGCTGAGATCTGAGGATCTAGGTTTGAAGCCAGCCGGGCAGCAAAGTCCCCGTGACTCTTATCTCCAATCAACCACTCAAAAACAGGAAGTAGAGCTGTGGATCAAAATGACAGAGTGCCAGCCTTGAGCCAAAGAGCTCAGGGACAGTGTCCAGCCCTTGAGTTCAAGCCCCAGAACCAACCAAAAAAAAAAAGAAGAAGGATAAAATAAGAATATAGGTTGAGTATCTGTTATTCAAATGCTTGGGACTAAAAGTGCTTTAGATTTGGGAGATTTTTGGATCTTGGATTGTCATTAGTAAATGAACATTCTTAATCTGAAAACCTCAAATCTGAAACTGTTTTGGGGGAGAGCACTGCTAACTGAACTCAGGCCTGTGCATATTTGCATGCTACCACTGAGCTACCTCCCTATACTACATCTGAAATTTTTTGAACATATACAAATGAGTAACTCCACTAATTTACAAATCTACTCTAATTGTAAGGACTTAGAACTTCTAATTGGAACCACCCCAGAGTTGACAGAACTCTACCACAGTATTACTCAAATAGAAGCAGCATGTTAGCTTTTATTTTTTAAGTGTGTTTTCAACTAGGTGCCAGAGGTACACACCTGTAATTCTAGCCACTCAGGATTCTGAGATCTGAGGATTAAGATTCAAAGCAAAACCCGGTAAACAAAGCCAAGAGATTCTTATGTCCAATTAACTAGCAAAATACCAGAAGAGGAAGTGTGGCTCAAGTGTCAGTCTTGAGCAAAAAAAAGTTCAGGAACAGTGCTCAGGACCTGAGTTCAAGCCACAGGACTAGAACACACGTGTGCACATGCACGCACACACACACATACATACATATACATACATACACACCTATTTAAAAAAAAAACAAAAAACAGGGTCTCAATATGTAGTCCAAGCTTCCAAATGCTGGGATGAGAGTTGTGCACAATACCAGCTATAAATACTTTTTGTTGTTGGTGGTGGTTGTGGGGCTTGAACTCTGGGCCTGGGCACTGTCCCTCAGCTCTTAAGCTCAAGGCTTGTGCTCTACCACTTGAGCATTCTAGTAATTGGAGAGAAGAGTCTCACAGACTTTCTTGCCTGGGCTGGCTTTGAACTGCGATCCTCAGATCTCAGACTCCTAAGTAGCTAGTAAGCCACTGGCACCTAGCTTATACTTTTTAATATTTGTTTTATATATCATAATTTGGGCTGACCTATATATTTCTTAGAGAAATTACACATTTTAACATACATTAAATGCATCCCAAGATGATTTTCATTACAATACTTGTGGCAGTTTAGGAAAAAAAAACTACTTACAGAATTTATTCTGTGACAACGAAGAAATGAGATTAGTAAGATCTTTTTTGCCTCCAATAGTGTATCAGGCATGAAGTTTGTCAATGGTGTAAAATATTACCAACTTTGACATTATCTTCGCTACTCTGAGTTTTTAAATCTTTTCTTCACTATTTCACAAAACTTCTAAAACTGCTATTCAAGTCCTTAAACTTTGTGATATTTGCCTCAATGTAGAGTGCTTACTCCTGTTTATAAGTGCCATGATAATATTATGAGAGTAGTTTTCAAATACAAAAGTTCTCTGAGATTGTCAAATCTTTAGAATATATATGGCCCCTAGGAGTGAAACATAATGTAGAAATGTAGACTGTTCAAAAATCTTTGAAATAAAACGTACCTTTAAAATTAGGATTCACCAGTTCTTTACGATTGGAACACTGTATAGCATTTCCATAAACTAAATCTAAAGCACACAGCAGAAGATGGTAGGAATTGACCAAATCATCACTAATCATAGGAAAATTACCTGTGAGATTATAAAAGATTTAAAGGTTATCATCAACTTTATACTTTAAAACAATTTATTCACTTAATTATAATGGTATTATACAACCCTGTACAAAGTTGACTCAAGGGTGACATTAAATGTTGTGGCAAATTTGTAGTTTGAAATATTACTCTTACATTTAATAAATTTCTAAGAGTTTATAAGAACGAAACTATTAAAAGTGCTATTCATTAATTCATATATTCATTAAAGAAGCATTTACTAAATATGTAATAGCAGACTAAACTTTATTATATTGGTCTAATCTTTGAAAATTCCCCACACACAATATTATAAATTATCTCAAAGTGTAAAAAAATCATTTTACATGAAAACATTTTCTGCCATAAAAATTACTGGAAAGTCATAAAGAGCTGAAAAATGATTCATATAATTGTTTTTCTCATACATTTACATTTAAAAAGACCAAAAACTTAATCAGAGCCTCAATGGTTGTTGTTGTTTTTTGTTTTTTAGTGTTGAGTCCCATGGGGCTTGAGCTATTAGTCTAGACTGAGCCTGGATCAAATTATTATAGACTGAATTAGTAAGATAAAATTCAACCACTGAGATCATTGCATACACACACACACAAAAAATGTCAAGTTCTGTTCTTTCTGTTAATGAACTATAACCAAAATAAGGACAATAAAATTATTTTAAGCAGCTGGGTAACAGAGGCTCCTGTCTGTAATCTTAGCTACTTAGGAAGCTGGTATCTAAGGACTGAGGTTCAAAGCCAGCCTGGGCAGGAAAATCCTAGAGACTTTTATCTCCAATTAAGCATGAAAAAGGCCAGAAATGACACTATGGCCCAAGTGGTAGAATGCTAACCTTGAGCAAAAAGAGCTCAGGGACAGTGCCTAGGCCTAGAGTTCAAATCTCAGGAACAGCACACACAAACACACACACACACACACACGCACAATTTTAAGTTTATATAGTACCAAATGCATATACATACAAAACAAATATACACTTCTAAATACACACACACACATACACACACACACATACACAGATCTCTTTAAAATAAATCCTAGAAGCCAGGGTACCTGCCCAATACAATCCTATGAAATGATTACTATAATATGTAATATCATCATGCAAGCTAAACTTGTGGTAGCCACTATAATGTTATATATTCGTCTTCCTTTATTCCATACCACTGATCCTGTCACTATTTTATTTATGTTTTATTTTACTTTTGCTGAAGACTGAACTGAGGGCTCATGGAATACTAAAGCAAATACTATACCACTTGAGCCACATCTCCAACCTAACATGTTTCCAAGCTAGGCACTCTGCTAATATTTGTAATTACAGCTACTCAGGACTTTTTTCAGCCCAGGCAGAAGATAGCAAGACTGTCTCAAAAATAAGCTGGGCATCATGGTGCACACCGATAATTCCAGTTATTCGGGAGGCAGAGATACCAGAATTGTGGTGTAAGCAGTCTGGAGCAAAGTCACAAGACTTGATCTGAAAAACAAACTAAAACCAAAAGGACTTGGGGGCATGGGTTAAGTGACAGAACTGACCTAGCAAGTGAGTGGCACTGAGTTCAATCTGTATGACCAAAAAGAGGAAGGGAAGGGAGAAAAGGAAAAAGAAGGGAGAGAAAGCTGTCAAGTATAATAGAAAGCATACTCAACAGCTCATATTTCTTATATTTCTTATAAATCACAAACATAGCTCAAAGAAAGGATGACTCTCACTTAACTAATTAAAGAGGACCAGCTATATGTAAAAAACACCTAGAAATCAATGGCATGACACATCCTTGCCAGAAGCCTTTACAATCAACATGAAACCAGGATCCAAGAGATATGGGTTCAAATCCTAGCTCTGCTTCTGTTTTACAAGTCTAATCTTTGAGTTAGCTGAAATTCTAACATCTAGTGGTAAGAATCTCTTCTATGTAAAACTCCCTTTTACATGACCTCTCTCTCTCTCTTTTTTTTTTTTGGTAGCAGGGCTTAAACTCAGGGCCTGGCTGTCCTTTAGCTTTTTCAAGGCTAGCACTCTACGTCTTGAGGTCTACTTTTAGCTTTTTGCTGGTTGACCAGTCTCAGACTTTCCTGCCCAGAATGGCTTCAAACCACAATCCTCAGATCTCAGCTACCAGAGTAGCTAGGATTAGAGGTATGAGCCACTGGCACCCAACTTCACAGTTTCTTTTTTTGAAGTTTCTGTTTATTTTGGTCAACAGTGGCCCAAAAATATTAAGTGGAAATTTTCAGAAATACTTGAGGTTTTTGTTTTGTTTTTAATGTGTTTATGTGCTGGTCCTCGGACTTGAGCTCAGGGCCTCAGAGTCGTATTTGGTTTTCCCTCAGGACTAGTGATCTGCCTCTTGCACCACACCTCCACTTCTGGGTTTTTGTGGGTTAAAGAGTCTCATCCTTGTCTACTTGGGTTAGTTCTGAAGCAAGATTCTCAGATCTCAGCCTCCTGAGCAGCTAAGATTATAGGTGTAGAACACCAGCACCCAGCACAACCTCTAAATTTTAAACTGCATGAAATCTCTTAGTGCTCTGTTGTCTGGCTCTTGGCTCTATCTCGCCTGAGATATGAATCATCTGTGTTTAGTTTGTTCATGTTATGTGTGTCACCCATCCATTAGTCACTTAGGAACCATCTTGGTTATCTGATCTACTGTCACAAGTAACCCTCAATTTATTAAGTAATCACACCACACAAATATAGCATGCAAACAAATTGGATATGCTAAAGAAAAGCCCTAAAGACCTTCCTTTAATTAAAAAAGTACAAGTTTTTACTAAAAAGAAAATTGCATCCTGAGGTTACTAAGATCTAGAATATAGAAAGTTATTTTGAGACCAAGAGATCATATATAAAATATATTACTAAATTTTTTCTATTTTATTATCAAGTTCTACACTTGTGAAATTCCTTCTAGCTCCAGACATATTGTTTTCAACTCCACATTTTACAGCATTATTTAGTGGCAAAAGTATGCTGCATAGACTACAGAAAAAGCTATAATCAGTAACTAGTATAACTATACTTTCTTTCCCCCTTTAGATGCTAAGAACTATTCCTATATAGAAATACTAAAGACTAAAGTACTAGAGAGTATTTCAGTTAATGCATATCTTAGACATATTGAATGAGAAAAATTGTGTCCAAGGCATTAGATTATATAGAAAGTAACTTGAAATCCCCCCTCAACTAATAGCCTGATTAATAAATGGACAAAGGAGCTAAATAGAGACTTCTCAAAGAAGTAAGCATGGCCAATAAGCATATGAGGAAATGATCAACATTTCTGGCCATAAAGATATGTAAATCAAAATAACACTGAAATTCCAGCTTACCCTAGTAGGACTGGCCAGCACTGAGACTATGGACAATAGCAAATGTTGGTAGGTATGTGGGGTAAAAGGAACCGTTACATTATTGGTAGGAATGTAAACTAGTACAACCAGTCTTTGGTGATTTCTCAAAAAACTAAACATAAAATCACCTACCCAACACATTACAAGTCAGTGTACAGTAAAGACACCTACACATCCACGTTCATAATAGCCAAGTTGTGAGAACAGCCCAGATGTTTTACAATGGATAGCGGATCAAAAAAATGTGGTACATATGTACAATGGAATTATTCATCTATTAGAAAGACTATTAGAGACAAATGACTCATTTTCACTCAAATGTGGAAGCTAGGACTATAAAATAAAAACATGCATGATAACATATACAAAGCTCTATGCATATACACACAAACTAACAAAAGGATTGTATATTTAGGGAAGGAGTGCAAAGGTGTAACTTTTCCTACACAATTAATGAACTGTTAATCAAAATGAATACCAGGAAGAGGAAAAATGTTTTGTGGGTGAGGGGAGGGGGAGGAAGCAAAAGAATGAAGGAAGAAAGGTTGGCAAATGCAGTCATGACATTCAATGTACATTATATAAAAATTGAACTATGTAACTTGAGGGTAAGAATAGTAGAGAGAAAAATGGGGGAGAAGAATGGAAGGGGTTTAATCAAAATGAATACCAGGAAGAGGAAAAATGTTTTGTGGGTGAGGGGAGGAGGAGGAAGCAAAAGAATGAAGGAAGAAAGGTTGGCAAATGCAGTCATGACATTCAATGTACATTATATAAAAATTGAACTATGTAACTTGAGGGTAAGAATAGTAGAGAGAAAAATGGGGGAGAAGAATGGAAGGGGTGACTTCAATCAAGATTCATTATATTCATAACCTGACTTATGAAATTGTAATCTCTTTGTACAATTATTTAATATAATTTTTTTAATGTTTTGTGTTTTTTTTTTTAAAGTAGGGGCTGGGAAGGTGGCTCAGTGGTAGAGTGATTGCCTTGCATGCCTGAGGCCCTAGGTTCGATTCCTCAGCACCTCATAAGCAGAAAAAGCCAGAAGTGGCACTGTGGCTTAAGTGGTAGAGTGCTAGCCTTGAGCTGAAGAGCTGAAGGACAGCGCCCAGACCTAGATTTCAGGACCCATGACCAAAAAAAAAAAGTAATTAGAGCTTTTCTTAAGATAATCAGTCATGACTAAGACATGTCAGTCCCACTCAGTTGAATGAGACATGTCTCATTAAAAAAAAAAAAAAAAAACCCAACACTGAAAATACAACTTAATAACAGAATAAGGTGACTTCAGTTCATAATTCAGAAGAATAGCTTTGGGTCAAGAGGTTGTTGACTAAGAATAAAATTAAAGGATTTCCCATTTAATAAGAGAAGATTTGGATATTATGGAATTCAAAAGACTTTTCACTTAAAGCATCTGAGGGCCAGGCACTAGAGGCTCATGTCTATAATCTTAGCTACTCAGGAGTTTGAGATCTGAGGATCATAGTTTGAAGCCAGCCCAGGCAGGGATGTCCATGAAACTCTTATCTCCAATTAATCACCAAAAAGTTGAGCTACAGCTCAAATGGAAGAGTGCCATATTTGAGCACAAAAGCTGAGGAACAGTGCCCAGACCCTAGGTTTAAGCCCCAGGTCCAGCATCAAAAACTAAACTAAAAAAGAAAAAAATCTAAGGTAAAAACCTTTGAGAAATTTTCAGTGAGGATCTCTTCCAGATATGTATTACAGGTTGGTAAAATAATATCTGAAAATTTAAGTGAACTAATCAAAATCTAAACATTACTTTTTCTTACCTTTTGCATATATAAAAAGCACCCAACAAAAATGGAAAATTTCAGACACGGTACAGGGCTGTCGCCTTTGGGGAAGGAAAAAAAAGTTATGAGACAAACAGAAGAATTTAGAAAAAGACATCCCAAGTGATTGTAAGTCAGATGTAAAACAAAGCTCATACAAGAGGAGTAATACCATATTCAGCTTTCCTGGGGAAGATGTGTAAGAAATTCTGACCCAACCATATACTGGAAGAAAATAGTGGGGAGCCAGAGCAAGAACTCATGACAGAAAGAAAACAATTCTGAAGATTATTTAAACTTTTTGAAATCAGGATATGTAAGGCAGAAAATAAAAACAATAGGTTTTTTTTGATGAGATTAGCATAGCTAATCCTGCTTTGAGACCTCTGTGGATAGCTAGATATTTCTCCATTTCCTCCCCTATCACTGCTGAGCAAGTGTTAGCCCTCTCCCCTAAATACATTCACTCAGTTTTTTTTTTTTGCCTGTCATGGGGCCTGAACTCTGGGTCTGGTCACTGTCCCCTCAGCTCTTCAGCTCAAGGCTAGTGTTCTACCACCTGAGCCACAGCGCCACTTCCAGCCTTTTCTGCTTATGTGGTGCTGAGGAATTGAACCCAGGGCCTCATGCATGCAAGGCAAGCACTGAACCACTGAGCTACCTTCCCAGCCTCCCCTAAATACATTCTAGACTAAGTCAAAGCACAAAAGGTCTTTTTAATGAAAACTCTTGCCTACCTATATCCATTACACTTCCACATATTAAGAGTACCTGTTGTGGGCTGGGAATGTGGCCCAGTGGTAGAGTGCTTGCTTAGCATGCATGAAGCCCTGGTTTCGATTCCTCAGTACCACATAAACAGAAAAATCTGGAAGTGGCTCCATAGCTCAAGTGATAGAATGCTAGCCTTGAGCTGAAGAGCTCAGGGACAGCACCCAGGCCCAGAGTTCAAGCCCTATGGCTGGCAAAAAAAAAATAAAAAAAGAATACCTGTTGTATTTTGCTGTTTGCCACTTTAAGCTTGGCTTTCCTGCCAACATCTCTTCCATTGTTTGGACAGGCCATCTGTGATCTCCACATAGCATCAGTCTTATGCTAACAAGGACCCAAGAAGAGCAAAGTACCCCAGAGAAGATCAAGAGAGTAGCTTCAGTTCCAGAGCTATCATTAACTAAGTACAGTTGCCTTCTCTGAGCCTTCATCCATCCATAGACTATTCTAAACTGGGTAAAGTGGCTCACACCTGTAATCATAGCTACTTAAAAAAGATGTGATTGAGAGATTTGAGAAAAAAGTTAACAAGACTCTCCTTCATCTCAAACAACAGCTAGATGTAAAAGAGCATGCCTATCACCACAAACTTTGCAAAGCTGAGATCAGTGGAACTGTGGCTCCAGGATAGTAAAAGCAAAAAATTCTGAAGACTCTTATCTCACCAGAAAAACCTTTGTGCTGAGGTATACACCTGTCACCTCAGCTATGATGGGAATCATACATAGTCAAAGCCCAGTCCAGGCCTGCTGAAAATCAGAGCGAAAAGGGCAGAGATTTGGCTTAGTACAGTACAAGCCTAGCAAGTGCTTAGTCCTGAGTTCAAACCCTTACTGCCAAAACAAGGGGGGAAAAAAAAGAGATAGAGATTCTGCTTGAGTATTATACTCTAATTTACTAATTCATGGCAAAGATTAAATGTGAGAACTCTGCTTCAAAGAGTAGCCTCCTTAATATAGTACATGATAAACTATTTCTAGTTTTGATTATTCTCAAGATAAAATTTTAATTTTTAGCTTGCAACACTTAAGCTACTCTAAATTCTAGCTCATTGTAACTTAAGAACCCTGGAAAAAACTGGACTAATTTACTTGTTCTAAAAGCTCTTCTTGCTCTGATGCTTCTGTGTCACATCTTGCAATTTCCTCTACATAGAAGGCTCTATTATCTCCAAATTCACCTGTCAAAATCAGACCCATCCTTCAATACCTGCCTCTACTTATTCCATGTAATCTTATTTGACTGGCTCATCCAGATATAGCTATTATCTATTGCATTCATGTGGCTTTTATAATCTGTTGTACTGAACAAACTTGAATTCTTTATAAAACTTGCCTCCTCTCCACATTTTAGTCTCAGCTCTCAAAAGACAGTTTGTGGGTTTTGTTTTTAAACATCTGTTGTTCTGCATAATATCTACTTCCTGTGGGTAAGGGCTCAATAAATACTCAAGATACAAACTTCCAAATGATAGTGTGAAAGAGACAGTATATGGTCATGGTAAAGCATATGGCTATTACAGCTGGATTACTTTAGTTCCAAAAACAGCTCCATGCTTTCCAGTTATATCAATTGGTTGAACTTACTTAAAACTCACAGGGGCTTATTTTTACTTAACCTCCTAGAAGCTTACTTTCCCCATCTGTAACTAAAGTCTCAGTCTCGTAAGGTTGTCATAAGGATTAACTGAGATAACAGAAGAGTTCTGGACCCAAAATGAACACATAGTAAATGTCATAAATTGTTAGTAATACTGTTAGAAGCAAATGCTAATAAAAATTAGAATAAGCCAGTGTGGTTGTGTATGTTCACAATCAGCACACAGAAGGTTGAAATAGGAAGATCACAAGTTGGAGACCAAGCTGAGCTGCATGGCAAGATTTTGCCTAAAAGAAAAAAAAATAAAAAGAAACAAGCAAAAACCTACAAAATAATACAGAGTTATACGTGTAGCTCAGTGGTAGAGCATTCTTGGCAGACACAAAGCCCTGGGTTTGACATCTAGCATCAAAAAGGGGGAGAGGGGTAAAAGAGAATGACAAATATTAAATTTTAAAAGTAATTTTACAGTTCCTTATTAGAATTTCCTAATCTACATAAAACAAGTACAATATATAATCATTTTCTAGACATTCCAAAGAAAATAGATATTCTGTATCTCTAAATAATCACACTAAGCTGGGTGCTGATGGTTTATGCCTGTAATCAAATAAATTTGAGGATCACAGTTCAAAGCCAGCCTGAGCGGGAAAGTCTGTAAGACTTTTTTTTTTCCTAGGTGGTGGGGCTTGAACTCTGGGCCTGGGTGCTGTCCCTCAGCTCTTCAGCTCAAGGCCAGCACTCTACCACTTGAACCACAGTGCCACTTCTAGTTTTCTGGTGGTTAACTGGAGAAAAGAGTCTCGTGGACTTTGCTGCCCATGCTAGCTTTGAACCATGATCCTCAGATCTCAGCCTCCTGAGTAGCTAGGATTACAGGTGTGAGCACCCAGTGCCCGGCTTTATAAGACTCTTATCTCAGATAAATTACTCAGAAAAAATTGAAAGTGGTGTTGTGGCTCAAATAATAGAGCTAGCCTTGAGCAGAAGCAGCTCAGGCTCTGAGTTCAAGTCTCAGAACTGGTCCTCCTCACCCCCCAAAAAGAGGTCACACTAGCTGAGAATCAAAACAAATGTTGTGTCCAAAATTTAGAATGCTTAATTGTAAATCCTCAGTTCACCAAAATTTCAAATAAGTTGCAACAATTACTTCCACATTAGTGCACACTATATAAAAATATGAATGTTTTGCTAATATCTACTATATATTTTATGATATATGAATATATATATAATACTTACCATACTATATATATTATATATGTACTGGAGCTTGATTCAGGGCCTGGTGCTGTCCACTTAGCTTTATCACTCAAGGCTGATACTCTACTACCTGACAACTCCACTTCCAGTTTCTTTGTTTTTGGGAAGGGTTGTTTAGTGATTAAGAATAAAACTCACACAGACTTTCCTGCCCAGGCTGTTTTCAAACCCTCAGAGATCTCAAGCTTCCTAAATAGTCAGGATAACAGGACCAAACCATTACCACCAAGCTTATTTTTTTTTTTTTTTTGTCAGTCGTGGGGCTTGAACTCTGGGCTTGGGTGTTGAACCTCAGCTCTTCAGCTCAAAGCAAGCACTCTACCACTTGAGCTATAGCACCACTTCTGGTTTTTCTGAGTGCTTATTGGAGATAAGAGTTTCACGGAGTTTCCTACCCAGGCTGGCTTTGAACTGCAATCCTCAGATCTCAGCCTCCTGAGTAGCTAGGATTACAGGTGTGAGCCACTAGCACCTGGCCATATTTTTAAGTTTATACTTACTGTAAACATCATTCACAATTTGAGAAACTTTTATATTAAAAAAAACTAATATTATAAGTCAAATAATTTTAAATCTTTCCCTATACTTTGTTTATCAACACTTTTCCTGTGTTCTTTTAAGAAAAATTTCCATGCTTTATGAAAAAACTTTGTTAAAGGAGGAAAATTTATATGCCATAATTCCCCTCAGTTATAAGGAAAGGTAGAAGGCACTAAGCCAGAAAGTGTTTCTCTTTGCAGACCTATCAAAAAGAACAAATTCTTTTTTTTTTTTTTTTTTTGGGTCCAGTCCTGGGCCTGAACTCTGGGCCTGGGTGCTGTCCCTCAGCTCTTCAGCTCAAGGCTAGCGCTCTACCACCTGAGCCACAGCACCACTTCTGGCTTTTTTCTCTTTGCTTATGTGGTGCTGAGGAATCGAACCCAGGGCCTCATGCATGCAAGGCAAGCGCTCTACCACTGAGCCACCTTCCCGGCCCCAAGAACAAATTCTTAACACTTTGAGTTTTCATATCCTCCCTCGATCCCGTTTCTCTACTCTCAACTATATATATATCAAAATGCATAGAGATATTACTCATTTTTGAAATAGAAATCAAGTAATAGTCTATGTAGTCAGTAGTAGAAAACAGGTCAATATGTGTCTGGTCCAAGATTATTAAGAGAAAAGTCATGGGGAAAAAGGTTACTTATGAAATCATGTCACTTTTTGGAGACTATAAATAACCTTGAGATATGAAAACTGCAGCACAGAGAGGTATATTCTTAAATAACAAATATAGAACATACCTCTGTTTTCTTCCTCTTTGATGACGAGGTTGCTCCTCTTGGGGATATTTGAAAATGTCTTGAAAAATTGGTTCATATTTCTTAAAAATTACAGCAGAAACAGTAAAGTTTCTTTCCAATCTCTCTGTCCGTTCTCTGAAATGTGGGGGTAGATTTGCCATATCTTCCCACTTCTTCATCTTGTTAAAAAATTCAATTAAGCTGACGGTAAAGATTTAAAAAAATAGTATTTTTCAGAACATAAAGTATATCAATATATGTAAATTAAATAAAAATTAACTCATTAAATTATAATACATTTAGAGAGTTATATAAAACCACAATTCATTTCTTTGACTAGCTTACTACAAACTAGCTTACTACTCTGATCTTCCCTTTTGTTTATAGATTAGCTGAGGGTTTTTTTTATATTTATTACAGGGTGTGTGTTTGTTTGTGTATGTATTTTTGTTATGGGGAGTGTTTTTGTGTATGGTTTTTTTATTATGGGTGTGTGTGTATGCACGCGCACACGCGCACACAAGTGTACAAGCATGCATACCAATCCTTAGGCTTGAACTCAAAGGCTGGGTGCTGTCCCTGAGCTGTTTTTGCTCAAGGCTAGCAGCTCTAGCACTTGAGCCACACACAATTCCACTGCCAGATTTTTTTTTATATTGGTACTTTATTGGAGGTAAGAATCTCATGGATTTTCCTGCCCAGGCTGACTTCAAACCACGATCCTCATATCTGAATCTCCTGAGTAGTTAGGATTATAGGCATGAGCCACCAGCACCTGGAAGTACCATGAAATATTTTTTAAAGACAAAGTAAAATTAGTAGCTCAGTGGTAGAATGCCTGCCTAGCAAAACCAAGGCCCTGAGCTCCATCCCCACCCCTGAAGAGCTGGCTAGAGGAAACAACACAAGAACCAACATAGACATACCCAGGTTCCAGGACTAACAAATATTAACATAGGGATAAAAACTGCCAGGCTTGCTTTAAATTCTTTTAAGAGCTAAAATATTATTGAAACAGCCAAAATTCTCACTAGGACTCCTCCCTAATACCATTCTCTACTCTTCTCCCCAAAGATAATCACCATTCTAAAGTTAGATTCCTTTCCATCCATGTTTCCTACTTACTAGATACACAGAAGAACCATGTTGTATGTGCTTTCACATTTTATATAAAATACAGTATACTGTAAGCAGCATTCTGAAACTGCTACTTACAATGTTTCTGAGGTTCATTAATGTTGCTACATGTAGATCTGACTTACTTCTTGATTTTCTAAAACCATTACTTCCTATGAATATAACATTTTTTTGGCATTCATTTAATCGTATAGGTTGTTTCTAATTTTTATGGCAAAAAACGTTAAAATAAACAAATCATCATACATGCATGTAGGAGTTTCTCCCCAAGTGGAGAATGTTACCTTCAATTTACTACACATTCCATATATATATGTATTTTTTTTTTTGGGGGGGGGGGGGTCCGGTCATGGGGTCTGAACTCTGGGCCTGGGTGCTGTCCCTCAGCTCTTCAGCTCAAGGCTAGCACTCTACCACCTGAGCCACAGCGCCACTTCCAGCTTTTTTCTTTTTTGTTTATGTGGTGCTGAGGAATCAAACCTAGGGCCTCATGCATGCAAGGCAAGCGCTCTACCACTGAGCCACCTTCCCAGCCCCTCCATATATGTTAAGACACAAGTCCTGTGTGTACACATCTAAGCATAATACCATTTATTTGGTACTTCATTTACCTTTTCAACAGAGTACCTACAAAAGCTTCTCAATATCTTTATTTAAGTTTATCCCAATATTATATAGTAAGTCAAACCATTAAAATTAATTCTTCCAAATAAATGCCTAATAACTACAATGCAAATATTTTATCCAATTAGTAAAATATGACTATCAACTTTGAGGTGCAAAGGAAAATCAAGATATAGCTTAAAACTCAACAATCCATAAGTACAAATCCTCAGAAAACAATTAACAGAGAATAACTGTCTCATTACAACTATGACTTTTGAGCTTTTTTTCTTTTTTATCATATCCACACTTCATTTTTAAAACTGTAAAACAGTTACCTCTGTTCTGAACAGCGCAGGATTCTAGTTAAAGACACATAGTTTCCTTCAACTGTCCCTTTGCTTACAGTGGGAACAGATTTTCTGCAAGCCACATATAAGGCACATGCTAACCAATGAAGATCATTTCCCTGTAAAAGAAAAAAGAGTTTTAGCTAAGGAGCTCTATGCTTCAGTATAAAAATTCTTTATGTTTCAACTGAAAGTGTTTATATGTTTATGGGGTACTGTTTTCCAATGATGGCCCTGCCCTACGTGCTCTTCATACAATGTGACACTGACATTCTTCTGTGGGAAGTGTTCCCTCACCTTGAAGTTGGGCAGGGCCTGAGTCCTCTTACACTGGGTGGCACCACACCTATTAACATAGGTAGAAGTGATGTTATATAATTCAACAATCACAGATTCCATTTGGCTCTTTCAGGTCATGTCCTTTGGAATTCCTAAACCCACCTGTAAAAACTCTGGCTGCCTTTACCCACCATTTTGGTTTTTTTTGTTGTTTTTTTTTTGGGTCCGGTCATGGGGCCTGAACTCTGGGCCTGGGCTCTGTCCCTCAGCTCTTCAGCTCAAGGCTAGCGCTCTACCACCTGAGCCACAGCTCCACTTCCGGCTTTTTTTCTTTTTGCGTATGTGGTGCTGAGGAATCGAACCCAGGGCCTCATGCATGCAAGGCAAGCGCTCTACCACTGAGCCACCTTCCCAGCCCTTTACCCACCATTTTGGAGACAGATCCTTTGGAGTGGTCAGTTATAGACATCCCAAAAGCCCCAACTGTGCCAGTCCCCAGCTGCTCAAGTCTTCCAGGTTAGGAATCAGAAATTGTAAAGCAGAAACATGGCATCCTCATTGTGCCCTGTCTGAATTTCTGACCCACAGAATTTGTGGGCAAACAAAATATTGTTTTATGTCACTTAGGATAATTTGGTTCACAACTATACTGGCTGAAATAATATTGTTACTTACATATTTTTACATTTTTGCTTAAAATCTAGAACACTAGAAGCAAATACAAAATTAAGTTTGAATGTACATTCTTGCCACTAACTTTACACTTCATCAAAACACACTGTAAGTGTTAAATTGAAGGGAAGTAGTGTATCTTATTATGCTGGTTTAAATTAAAAATAAAAATTAGAAAGTCTCTATTGTTTACTTTCATATACATTAGCTCAAAACACAATTATAGTATAATATACTTTTCTATTAAAAATAAAGGAAAATGATTTTATAAATTTATGTATGTGATGCTAAAGATTTACACCTGCTAAGCAAGCATTCTACCACTACAGCTACATCTTCAGCCCCATGGTTTTATAATATTCTTCCCTTGCTTTTTGTATTGAATTGTTCTGACCTTTGACAATGCAAGGAAACTGAACTCAGAGCCCCAACTCACTAGGCAAATGTTCTACCACTTAAGCCATACTCAGTCCTCATTTACAAGATCTCACAATAAATTTAGCTTCATAACTATTCTGTTTCTTTACTATACATGCAGATCTCTGAGGAAATATAGTCACAACATTATCTTGTATTTAAATAAATGATCTAAAGAAGATGATCTATTATGGTCTATTTTGGTTGTAAAGAATTTTCAACTAAAAAGGAAGAAAAAAATTAGTCTTGTATATGAGAATTTAATAATGCTTGCAGGACAAATGGAATGGTAGAGGGATATATAAAGTAATCTGTACTAAAGAGGTTACAGACAACAGAAGAGTACACTCTAGGTTTATTTTAATCCTAAAAAAGTGTTAAGTCCATATGCTAAAAAAAGCACCCTCAAAAATACAACTCATGACCACACAACCTATAATGTCAAGCAGATCAGTTGAAAAGTCTGCCATACACTAGGGTTTAACACCAGGAGCTAATTATTTAGTTTTAGAGAGTTCATTTTGCAAGGACTGAAAGCATTTACTTAATTTTGTACTTTCTTTGCTTTATTCTTTTTTTTTTTGGTTGGCCGTGGGGCTTGAACTCTGGGCCTGGGTGCTGTCCTTCAGCTCTTCAACTCAAGGCGAGCGCTCTACCACTTGAGCTACAGCGCCACTTCCGGTTTTCTGGTGGTTTATTGGAGATAGGAGTCTCACGGTCTCTCCTGCCTGGGCTGGCTTTGAACCTCGATCCTCAGATCTCAGCCTCCTGAGTAGCTAGGATTACAGGCGTGAGCCATCAGCACCCGGCTCTTTGCTTTATTCTTGAGCTGCAAGAATAAAACAAAGAAAATACAAAATTTCAAAAGATAAAGCCGGGCGCTGGTGGCTCACGCCTGTAATCCTAGCTACTCAGGAGGCTGAGATCTGAGGATCGCGGTTCAAAGCCAGCAGCCCGAGCATGAGAGACCGTGAGACTCCTATTTCCAATGAACCACCAGAAAACCGGAAGTGGCGCTGTAGCTCAAGTGGTAGAGCGCTGGCCTTGAGCTGAAGAGCTGAGGGACAGCGCCCAGGTCCAGAGTTCAAGCCCCACAACCAACCAAAAAAAAAAAAAATTTTCAAAAGATACAATTCTATTACTAGTATGAAGAGTTAAACATACTGTGTGCTTTATTTTGTATGTCATACTTCCAGGAGACTGCCAGGCCACACTGACAAGCTCCCTGTTTATCCCTAGCACCTATAATACTATGGCAAATAATAAGCTCTCAGAAAAATATTTGATAAATGAACAAATATTCATGCATTTGTTGCGTTCATTCGGCTAAGAAGCTGAGACTAAAGTCTCACTAATCAGTAAAATCAAGTAATGAAATACATTTCCAAAAATAAGTTACTATCTATTATTTATCAGTTGCTGTATAACAACAGCTCGAAGATGAAATATTTCAACCACATGATGATTGGAGTAATTTATAGGATCTTGTTTTTGTTTTTTGGTCCGTCTCGGGGCTTGAACTCTCGACCTGGGCGCTGTCCCTGAGCTCCTCAGCTCAAGGCTATCACTCTACCACTTAAGCCACAGTGCCACTTCCGGTTTTCTGGTGGTTATTTGGAGATTAGAGTCTCACAGACGTTCCTGTCTGGGCTGGCTTTGAATCGCGATCCTTTTGAGCTAGGATTACAGATGTGAGCCACCAGCACCTGATTTATAGGATCTTATTGATGACAAACAGTTTGTGTGGAGGTACATAATGCCTTTCAAGCTGAAAGAGTCCTTCTCTTTGTCGGTCTAAAGGAAACCAGAGAGATCTGAGAGGAATGAATTGGACCTCTTAGCGTTCTCAGCCTAAGAACAAGCTTTGTGTGCAGACAACTACACTTTCCCTTACCTGTTCAAAGTCACAAGGCTCTGTTAAGATTCTAAAGCCATCATATCACTGTCTTTATTTTGTAGATATCACAATGGGGAGAGGGAATCAGTAAATGAATTGAAATCTATTTATATATGAATAGACTAATAGGCTGAAAAATATCTAATCAGCGGATGCACAGAAACACTGTGTTATAGTTAACACCTTCACATCTTGAGCCGTTTTGTCCTACTTTCCTTATGTTTTCTAAGTACTTGAGAAAAATCAAATGGCCGGTAACTGTTTAAAAGCTGCACGCCGGGGCAACCAAACAGCTGATAAACAGAAAGGACTTCCGTGTCGGTTCCCATTGGCCCACGAAGGGGAGGTGCCTGAGGAGTTGACAGGCACTGGCTAGAAGCGCCTTCGCTCCCCTTCTCCCCCCCCGCCCGTCCCTACCCCCCCCCCCCCCCCCGTCAGAGGAAGCCCGGTGGGAAGAAAGAAAGACACCCAACCAACCGGTGTCACCACGAAACCCGAAAGGCCGTTCAGACAGACGCGGCCCCGATTCCCACCAACCAAGGAGGAAGGCTCGGGCTCGGTTTGTTTACAACCTAACTGAACACACCTCTCGACGCCAGGCGCCGGCGCTCGGGGACGCGGGGTCCGGGCGGAGGCACCGGCGGAGTTGCCCACAGCTGAAGGGGAAGCGCTGGGGAGAGCTCCGAGGCGCCGCAGCCCCACTCCTCCGCGGGCCCGCCCCGAGCACCTGTGCCCGGACCCCCGCGGGGCGGGGCGGGGCGCGGCCCACGGGCTGCGCACACCTTTTTTGTGTTTGGTCGGTTTGTCCTCTCAAGCAAACCCCCGCCGCAAGCCCGAACGGGAAGCGGCGGGGCAGCGCTCGCCGCCGACGGCCGGGCGCCGCGCCCTCCGGGCCCCCGCGGCCCCCGCTTCCGCGGCGCACCCCGCTGACTAGGCCCGACGGCCCCTCCCGGGCCCCTCCCGGGCCCCCGCGCTCACCTCCAGCGTATAGCTCTCGCTCATGCTCCGGTAGCTGTCCCAGGCCTCGGCCCGCGCCGCCTCGTCCATGTTGAGGCTGCAGCACAGCTCGTCGAACCGCTGCTGGACCTGAGGGGTCGGTGACCCCGCCGGCTGCGCGGCGTCCTCGGCCTCCCCGTCCTCGTCCTCCTCCTCTTCCGAGGCTGCTGCCGCCGCCGGAGGAGGAGGCAGGGGTGGCGGCGACTGGTCCCCTCCAGACGGCATGGCACCACCCTGGGCTGCCGGTCCTCAAGTGTGACGAGGGCCCGGGCCCTCAGCCATTCAAACCGTGAAGCGCCCGCCGGCCGGCCGCTCGCACCGCGACTGCGCCGTCGCTAACGGCGATCTGCGTCACGAAGGCATCCGTAGGTCGGAGCGTGGCCTGCTGGGAAATGTAGTCCAGGCCGGGAGCGCGCGGCGGCCAAAAGTCATGCGTTAAAAAAAACCAAAACAAAACAACCATAACAATCATCAGCTTGCGTCTTTTCTTTTGGGTTGACCTAAAAGCTCTATCTCTCGACCAGTAGACCGTTCGGTTCTGGAGAGGAAAAAAGATCTAAGAAATATTGACATGGCGAAGATTACTCTCCAAGCTGTTCCAATAACTTCATCACCGGGAGACCTTTAGCCAATAAGTAAATGCACAAATAAGGATCATCGCAGTGACTCGGTGTTGCTACTAATTCTTAGCTCTTTACTGATTGGTTAGAGATCCCTTTCGGACTGGAGGTGTGACTCAAGTGGCAGAGTGCCTGGCTAGCAAAGGCAAAGGTCCTGAGTTCCAAAACCCAGTATTAAAACAACAACAACAACAACAAATTGTCCCAAAGAACTACTTTTTTTCTACCGCAGTAATAGTTTTCCCACGGGAAAAATTTATATTTACAGCGTCAGTTTTTACTAGCCACCTAGCCGGTTTAACTTTATTATTTTTAATTTCAATTATTTTGGTTTCTCTTTTGATGTTTGAGGTAAACGAGTCACTTTATTGCCAATCCTTTTTCTCTTTTTTTCTTCACTTAAAAATATTTTGAATTGAGTTGGGCACCAATAGCTCATGCCTGTAATCCGAGCTACTCGGCATGCTGGGATTTGGGGATGATGTTTTGGAGCCACCAGGGAAAACAAAATTCATGAGATGCTTATCTCCAACTAACCACACACAAAAAAGCCAGAAACACAGTTGTGCCTCAAGTTGTGGCACAAGCCTTTAGCACAAAAGCTCAAGGACAAAGCCAAGGCCCTGAGGTTAAACCCCAGAACGGGCACACACACAAAAAAAGAAAAAACAAATCTTAATTGTGTTTCAGTCAACTGTGTCAGAAACATCTTTCCTTAATGTCACGTTATGTCAATTTACAAGTTATATCAAATTTTTTGGTGTTAATTCACCAAGTCCTACTGGGATCAGTTGGTAGCCTTGCTGTTGGATGAAGGACTTGCCTCTCCCCTCTTGGCCCAATCATTGTGTGGATCTAAAGATGGAATATGAAGGATTGACCCCCACCTTGTTTTCCCAGGTGCATACAGACATCAGGCAAGCCACCAAAGATATACCTAGACTGCCTGACATAGGCAGGACAATCTACTTAAGGCTGGCTGTAAGCATTCCATTGGGCCCAACCCCAAACCCCCACCTCCCTCGATGTAATGGCATTTTCTTTTTTTTGGGGGGGGGGGGGTCCAGTCGTGGGGCCTGAACTCTGGGCCTGGGCGCTGTCCCTCAGCTCTTCAGCTCAAAGCTAGCGCTCTAGCACTTGAGCCACAGCGCCACTTCCGGCTTTTTTCTTTTTGCTTAATTGGTGCTGAGGAATCGAACCTAGGACCTCAGGCATGCAAGGCAAGCGCTCTACCACTGAGCCAACTTCCCAGCCCCTGTAATGGCATTTTCATTAACTTCTGCCTCCCTGCTCAGACCTCATAAAAACCCAACTGCTGTCCCACCTCTTTGCACGGGCCTCCAGTCCAGGGGAAGACTGTGCCTTTCGCTATTATATCTCAATAAACAATCCTCCCCTGTGTAAAAAAGAGTCCCACCTCTTTCCTTCCTTTCTCCTCCATTTTCCTAACATTGGCAACACAGTTTTTCTTTCTCTCTCTTTCTTTCTACTTCTTTCTATTTCCTTTCTCTCTTTTTTCTTCTTTCTATTTCCTTTCTTTCTATTTCCTTTCTCTCTCTCTCTTTCTTTCTTCTATTTCCTTTCTCTTTCTTCTTTCTTTCTATCTCTTTCTTTCCTTTTTTTTTTTTTGTTATTCTGGAGCTTGAACTCAGGGCGTAGGCACTGTCCCTGAGCTGCTTTTGCTCAAGGCTAGCACTTTGCCACATCAGCCACAGCACCATTTCCAGCTTTTTCTGTTTATGTGGTACTGAGAATTGAACCCAGGGCTTCATGCATGCTAGGCAAGCACTCTACTACTAAGCCACATTCCCAGACCCAGCACAGTTTATTCCTTTTTTTGTTTTTTCTTATCTGTCAGTACCAAGGTTTGACCTCTGGGCCTTAAGCTCATTTGGTTTTCTTGTTCATGGTTACACTCTACTTGAGCCATCTTCCAGTTGGGCATTTGCTAGTTAATTGAAGATGGAGTTTCTGAGAGTTTTTGCTCTGGCAGATTTCAAACTATGATCCTCCAGATCTCAGCCTCCTGAATAGCTATGAATACAGGTGTGAGCCAGAAGTGCCTAGCTTCTTAGTCCCATCTTAATTACTAATATTAATTCTCAGATCACACAGAACACTTTTTTTGTCGGTCACGGGGCTTGAACTCTGGGCCTGGGTGCTGTCCCTCAGCTCTTCAGCTCAAGGCTAGCGCTCCACCATTTGAACTACAGCACCATTTCCGGGTTTCTGGTGGTTTATTGGAGATAAGAGTTTCACGGGCTTTCCTGCCTGGGCTGGATTTGAACCACTTGTGAAAAAAGATAAGGCGATGTTTCAAAATACTCTTTAAACATCTGATGGCTCACTGTAGTTTTCTAAAACAGAGTGATTTTTCATCCACTAGATTAAAGAAAAGGAGCTATTTAGATAAAAGCATATGCCACTCTATTATTTTATTTTTTATATTTTGGGTCCAGTCATGGAGCCTGAACTCTGGGCCTGGGCACTGTCCCTCAGTTCTTCAGCTCAAGACTAGCGCTCTACCACTTGAGCCACAGCACCACTTCCAGCTTTTTTCTTTTTTCTTACATGGTGCTGAGGAATCGAACCCAGCGCTTCATACATGCAAGGCAAGCGCTCTACCACTGGGCCACCTTCCCAGCCCCTGGGTTTGCTTTTAAATGTGACTTGGTGCTTCTGTCTTGCAGATTTTTAATATTCTTTCTTTGCTCTGTTCTTATGACCATTTGAGTATAATTTGTCATTGTAAGCGTCTTTTCTGGTCATGGTTTTTTGTTGCTGTTTTTTGTTTTTTGTCAGTTGTGGGGCTTGAACTTTGGGCCTGGGCGCTGTCCCTCAGCTCTTCAGCTCAAGGCTAGTGCTTTACCACTAGAGCCACAGCACCACTTCTGGTTTTCTGGTGGTGTATTGGAGATAAGAGGCTCACAGACTTTCCTGCCCGGGCTGGCTTTGAACCACAATCCTCAGATCTCAGCCTCCTGAGTAGCTAGGATTACAGGTGCGAGCCACCAGCGCCCGGGCTTTGTTCATGTCTATTTAGGGTTCCAAATAACTCCTTAACCTGGATGTCCATATTCCTCCAGAGATTTGGAAATTTTCTGTTATTATTTCATAACTAGATTTTTCTGTGCCCTCAATCTGTAGCTCTTCTTGATCAGGTATGCTGGTTATGTGGACATTTGTGTGTGTGTTTTTTTTTTTTTTGGGTCCGGTCGAGGGGCCTGAACTCTGGGCCTGGGCGCTGTCCCTCAGCTCTTCAGCTCAAGGCTAGCGCTCTACCACTTGAGCCACAGCACCACTTCCGGCTTTTTTTTTTTTCTTTTTGCTTATGTGGTGCTGAGGAATCCAGCCCAGGGCCTCAGGCATGCAAGGCAAGCACTCTACCACTGAGCCACCTTCCCAGCCCCTGTGTGTGTGTTTTTTAAATGTTGCCATGGATATTTCATATACTCCTTTTCCTCCCTCCCCTTAGTCCTTCCTATTTATTTGTTTTTGCTTTACCTTTCCCTCATATTCTTTCTTTTTTGAGATAAGGTCTTTGCTTATTTTTCAGATGTCATATGTTTTTGCCTGAGCTGGCCTAGACCTCAGTCCTCAAAATGATGCTTCCCATTTAGCTAGGCTAGCAGGCATGCACTATCACAAATAGCTTTTCTGGAGGATGAGGTCTCATTAACTTTTAATTCCAGGCTAGTCTCAAACCATGATTATCCCAATCTATGCCTCTAAAGTAGCTGGAATTACGGGCATGAGGTACCACAACTGGTCTAATTTTTTTTCTTGATTGATTTCTGAATGTAATATTTTAGCAGACTTATCTTCAAGCTCTTATATTTTTCCATTTGAACTGAGGTATTAAAAGTATGGCTTTTGCCAGGTGCTGGTGGCTTCCACCTTTAATCCTAGTTACTCAGGAGGCTGAGATCTGAGGATTGCAGTTTGAAGCTAACCCAGGAAGGCAAGTCCATGAGACTCTTATCTTCAGTTAATCACCAAAAAGCTGGAAGTGGAGCCGTGGTTCAAGTGGTTCAGTGATAGCTAATGTTGAAAAAAGTTTAGGGACAGTGGCTGGGCACTGACACCAAAGAAGGAAGGAAGGAAGGAAGGAAGGAAGGAAGGAGGGAGGGAGGGAGGGAGGGAGGGAGAGAGGGAAGGAAGGAAGGAGGTAGAAAGAAAAAGAGAAAAAGAGAAAGGAAAGAAAGAAGAAAAAAAGAAAAAAGAAGAAAAAGACTTTTTGAGCTTTTCCTTTTGAAAGTTGCCTTTTGTTATCAATTTTTTGATACAGATTATGTAGCCCAGGAAATCACTATATAGCCTAAGCTGGCCTCAAACTCCTGTCTCAGCTTCCCAAATTCTAGGATTGCAAGTGTAAACCACCATAACTACTTCTCACTTCTAAGAATAGTTTCTTTTTCAAAATTTCTGTTTAATAAAGTTCTTATTCATGTCCTTCACTGTCTTCTTTAATTTGATCAACTGTTTATCTATCTACATTCCTCTGGTTCTATTGAGCATTCAAAGTATCACTTTTGAAATTTTTTTAAATCCTGCATCTTTAAAATTTTGGAATCTATTAGTAGGGAATTATGAACCTTTGGAGGCGTTATATTACCTTTCTTTTTCTCTTTTACATTTATTAGTGCTAGCCTTGAGCAAAAGAAACTCAGGGACAGTACTCATACCCTGAAATCAAGCTAAGCTGGCACAAAAGAGAACA